AGGAAGCAACGACGGGTGAAGGTTAGTTTGTTACTGAAGAAAGAACAGGAACTTTGTACTTGCTTAAAGAGGGGGGGGGGGGGTACCTAGAAACCGAAATTGCCCTGCAAAGCTTTAAAACAGCTTGACGCTTTCCTTCGAGGTGTTTGCACTGTCCGTCACTTGTAAAGCTGAGGGAGTTTACTGTACCCGGAATTAAGCCTAGCTTCACATCCCACGTGGCGCTCCCATCATGGTTTGAGCAACGTGGTTGAAATTGTCAGCTGTTCAACTGATGAAGGGTTTTGGCTGGTTTCAACTATAATACGTGTATGCAATTCTGATTCACATTATTCATGTAGTGCATCTGTGACACCAGCCGCGCAACGCTATCTGGAATTTCTTAGGTTGTCTGAGCTCCAATATATCAAGAATAAAATCTCCTTTGCTGACACTCGCAGTTTTACTGTTACCTACCTCAGCGAGACGTTGCTACTTTAGAATGAAAGCAAAGAAGATCTTCGTGGTCTTTTATGCTTCTGCATTGATCTGTGGACACCTCACCCTCTTGGCCGATGTTATTCTGACTTGATCCATAGGATCTGCTCGATGGAAGCTCAGGTTTGAAAATCGGTTAAATAGTTATGTTAAACGACCTTTCCACCCATGTATTATTAAGCACGTGCTAATAAAATAAGCCTAAGCCGTGTTTTGCTGCTTCTTGTGGTCTTATCAGTAGGTTTAGAAAAGCATCGGACTATGGATAGTAACTGATTTTGATCTTACCTGGAACAGTGGGTGAAGTGTAGTCTCGAACACCAAGTCCACTGTCATCAGTGACATCGAATCGGAAGTATGGTGAGTGATAGACTTCCACTCTAGCTGGTTGGTCCTCAACTGCTTCGCCCGTAACTCGAACGGTGCAACGACCTTTGATAGCACTTGTCTGTCGCAACCCCTTTAGGACCACTTTGTTGCCTTCTAATTCAAGTGACCCCAAATTTGGTTGCATCAGGCTAGCAGTATCCACAGGATTTCCGTCCAGACGAATAAACTCCCATGAGTACTCAGCGTTTGGAATCTCTATGGGACCGTCCACACCATCTGGAATTTAATTTGCAGCATGAAATAGAGCACCCAGTATGCGGCTGATTTAACTGCGTATTAGTTTTATCACCTGATTCAGTAGTTGAAAACTGAGTAAAAAACCAAAGTTCAGACAGATAGAGCAAGTTACTTACCCATTAAGCTCCACTGTTATCAGCCGTTTTTTAAAGTATGTAAAAGTGTATGCCGTAGAGGAGGTTGAAACTGGAGGTATTATTATTACTCAACCTAATTGTTTGCATATATACTTTCTTCCCCTAGGAGATCTCTAGAAATCACACCAAGCTTTCCTAGGATTATCCCGGGCGTGAATTGAGCATTTATCGAAGCTAATCTAGGGACATTGTCGTCTCTTGATATGCGCTCAACACGGTGCACCCATTTCCAGTTATCGGGGCACCCATTGGATATGTTGCATAGACGCATGCGCACGCAGCTGTCACTCGGATTTTGATGGACGAGTGAGAGTAGATGACCTTCAAAAGCGAGGGACTAGGAAAAGCGCAAAATCCGTGTGACTAGTCAGTTAATCAAGTAGTCCTCGTCAGGTAGAACCTGACAAAAACGGATGACGATTCAGCCGAAAATTTGGTAGCGGTAACGAATAGGCATTGAAGCAGTGTTTGTTTTGGCGATTGACCTTTGCAAAAGTTTGCATACGATCAGCAAATTAGTGAAGCTGAAATCAGTCCCACAGATTCCAGAGTTGCACACCCGTAGCAGTACTGTGACTAGCCTCTGTGACTTAAACGTCCTCGATTCGTGCAGTGTGATTACGCTGTAACAAAGACGTGCTCAGACTGAGCCCAAGTTATGTGTAGTTATCCTTGCCACTAATTATGTTTAAAATGCATTCCAATAGATAGACGATAACTCCACCGACCCTTTGAGATTCTTCGGAAACAGCGCAGCTTATTGAGACGTACATCAGGTGCTATAGGTGTGCACATTTTGCAAAACTTTTCATTTGGAATTTCTGCAATTTCACTTGTCATACAAAATTTCGTGATGCCTCTGAAGTCCCATATCGACTATCGAAGTTTTCAAAAGCTTTAACACCACTTTAAGGCAAAAGATTCCTAAACGGTAAAATGACCTGCTCAACTTTTCAACCGGGTTATGATCACCAAAGCGGTCTTTATCCAGCAATGAACTACACTTCATACTCTTCCAAAGAACACCCTGTGGAGATAAATCACTCCCTACCAGTCACCATCCTCCGGAGACAGAACAATTCCCAATGAAGTTATCCCGATAGAAGATTACCATTTTCGGAGCTCCGTCCAGCCTAAGCTAAATGAGGTGATCTCTGATGATGGATGTTTCAAATGGAGATGGTTATATTACTCCGAGTAAGAAAGTGTTCAGCACGGTTGTGCCTGCCAATAACGGTGTATTTCCGTAACAATGAAGAGACTAGCTGACATGGATGGCGGTTAATCTGAACCGATAAAGTAAATTAATCGGAAAAAATAATGATCATGCAATTAGGCTGCGAGTGGATCAGTTAGTCTACAATTCGGTAGAGACAGACACAAAATGCCTAACCGCCTCATTAAGAAAATTGATTTAAAACGGTTTAATTCTATCGCTCCTATCTCGAAATATACTCTCAGTTGCACAACAGTTTGATCCCGAAAGCAGACTCGACAGAATACAGCTGAATCTCCCGCTTAGGATGGTCCACTTCAACTGAATGTACAGCTGAATTCGATTGAGTCCTTCACCGAAGCCAAATTCAATATCCGTTCAGGTTGGGCTCAAATGGAACAGTAAAATTGACAGAAATCGAGGTCTGTGCCTACCTGCTGAGCCCCAAGAAGCGTGAAGTCGGTCGTGAACTGTCAAAGTTTTCAGCAAGCTAGTGTGTTTCGCTCAGACATTTATTTTGCTTGTTGATTTTCTGTGATACTTTGTACCGCGGCAATATATTCACCAGTTTTTGCCATGCTATAAGTGATTGTCACTATCGTCTCCGTGCTATTTGTTTCTCTGTTTTAGCGAGGCATCTTTGTGGAAACTTGAGCTGTGAGGACAGATAGAACTCATTGGTCCAAATGATAATGTTTCAGCCAGAATATTGATGAAGAAAATGGGGTGTTCTAGCGGCAAGGATGAACTGTTCAGAACTCCGTTGAGTCAGAGGGTAATTTGATTGACTAAATTCATTGGCACAGTAAGGTGCTTTTGGGCATAGGGACACAATAGTGCACAGTGCAGGGGCACAGATGAAGAAATCTGTTAGCAGAACACACCTCGGGACAACTGGAAGTTATAGTGTTGCTTTACGTCCCAGCCTTGTTCCGGTTGGGATAGAAAGCGTATGACATTAGGTCTGAGAGAACGCCTTTATGTATTTCCGCCTATATTTCCGCAGAATGATAGAGAAAATAACAATAGTGAAAATGACTTACGTGTGGTCACACACTCCAATGTCCTAAGTGAGCCTTCACTGGCGGACAATGTGCCACGATCGTCCAAGCCCGTTACCTTGACAATGACTCTATTTCGTTCGTCTGAAATAATAGTGATACAAGAAACTAGTGTCTGTTGACCGTCAATTTGAGCTTTTAAAGCGGAAAGTGCTATCGTGTACATATTCTAGCTGTTTGTTCTTAAACCTTTCTGTCAAACAAAATATACCGGCTTTCGCTGTGGTAGTATATCAGCGTACATAGTATGCAACTCGGTGCAAAGTTAGAATTAGAAGTGTACTCACCCCTTTTCTCTTGTTCTCCCTTAAAGTCGGGAGTTTCTTTGTCGTGGACGACGTATTCAATAGGTTTTGAGTAGTAAGTGACAGCTTCCGACCTTCTTGTGGCCAGGCATTCGATGAGAGCCGATGGTTCTGGTAGATTGGGTGATCTGCGTGCTCCCTCAAGGAGGAGATAAGTGGCATCTCCGCTACTTGAGAGCCTTGTTTCCACTGTACCACTAGCCAATTGTCCCGGAGTGACTGGCTCACCACGAGTGCCAAGGATTCTCCACCCAAGATAAAACTCGTCTGCATCGAATGTTTTATTTGTAAAGGCATCTGAAATAATAATAATAATAACTAATGTACAGTGACGTTCCCACAAATATTTATTAGATAATGCGTGGGTTGAGTTGACGCTTCCCAGAAACTGAATATGGGATAACACAGAAGTAGACAGACGGGCAAACAGTGTTGATGTACAATCAACATATAACACTGATTTCGTCCAGTTCTCATTTAAAATAGGATCCACCAAATTTTCCCTCCCCAATACGTACGAATATAAAACAAAAGAATAAGCCTGAGGAGTATCGCTATAAGTAAGGTTGAACGTCTCAACTCCAACTCCCCGATTGGCAGTGGAAAGTTTGCAACCGAATCCCGAGCTCAGTGAACCAGTCGACGGCCACCGATACAACCCGGGTTACCGATACTCTCTTGGTTTGTAAGAGGAGAGCTTGAATTCGAGTGCCACCTCATATCTGAGTGTACAACAACAATCTTCCTGCTGCTGTACGTGACAGGAGGTTAGCGTAGTTTAGTGAAACAAACTGGCTCGGTATAGATGGGGCCAGTGCGGTGCATTGTTATGCGCCGATGAAGGATTAAAAAAAAACTGTACAGTCTATGCCAATTTTAAATTCAACACCGGATTGCACGCAGAAGTAAATGCGATGTCACAACTTGGATCACATGTGAATATCTTATTCTAGCACATTGGCATGGTGAGTTATACGGTTACCATTCCCAAAACGAAAGGGCTCCACAAGAGAATCGGACTCTGCCTCTCCTTGGAATGGTTTGCCTTCTGGAGTTATTTCGAATCGTAATCAAAGCGGGTTGTCACTGTGTTCTTTTTAAGACTCGAGATGCCTTTAGTGAGTAGTTTACTGTGCCTCGTATCATGACGTCACCAGCTTTTTTTCAACAGTTCAAAATGGCTGACGCTCCACAAATTAGCAAACAAGGCGTATTGGACAATAAGTTTGTGTAGTGGCTGTTGACACCTGTTTGGGGCACAGAATTTCCTAATATAAAAAAGTAAATAGTTATCTTGCCACAGCGAGACAGCCTGGCTTACTTTATAGTCCAAACTGAATAATGTATTGGAAAGAGTGAAACCGATTACATCTACCAATTTCGTACCCACTATTCGGTTTTCAGGTGACAGCAATAATGCAAAAGTGTTTAATCGCAACTTTCTATGAATCGTTTACACTGCGTGTGCGTACCTGACAGGTGTCACCCTACATCTTTAAAATGGTCTGGGTGTCAAAGATACTCATACGAAGTATAAGCCAAAGTTGAAGTAGATACATATCAAAGACAGAGCTCAACTTCTTGCTGAGTGTTATCTCAGAAAACACGTAGTATTTGACCATTTTCAGGGCGTAATTAGCTTCTCAATTTAAGACCATATGTACATAGGGAACGAAAATGTGTTTGCTACACAATATGCGCACAGTCAGTAGAATGATGTAACCAAACAACTAACTCACCCACGACTACACACGTCAAATTGGCGTTATCTCCTTCAGATAAACTCGCGTGTCCGGTTTCAGTATGTAAGCCGGTGATAAGCATTTTGATCGGTTGTTTGCCGTCTAAAAGTTAGAGGAACGGGAGTAAAGTGTGAGACAATAGGCTTCGCCAAGAAAGTTGTTTCGTTTCTATAAAGCTAGTTCCTGTTTGGGGACTTTTTCAAAGCAAACACTTCTGCCAATCATCTATCCGATATATCTACAATCCTCTACTATCATCTTCATAGTTGCGAACTTCTGTTTCCCATACAGATTTGGAGTAGAAATCTCCTATTGCACTGCTCTCAGTCTAAACTTCAACAATATCGAATAAACCCTGATTACTAGACCCTCTACTTCTATAAAAGCGTGATACCATACAGAATTCGGGCGACCAATGATTCTACAGATTGCTGTCGCCTGCGATGCTTCGTGCTCGCTGGCATATTACAAAGGTATTTTTCGAGTCTCCGATGGACATTCAGCTGGTAACAGTCTACACATGAGTCTCGCACAAAGTATTCCACGTTGCAACACTAGTGACCTGTTTAGAGAGTGAAATAAGTTTGGAGCTCCTTGGCTAATTGGAAACTTGAGCTGATGATAGCGTGGAGACTGTTGAAACGCCTCTGTTCTCTTATTACAGTTGTCAGGTCTATTTGTAGCAAATTTGAGAGCTTAATATGCTACGAATTTTGAGGAAATTTTGGACGAAAAAGGCACTTCCTTTACAGTACGCACAGTATTAGTTGCGGATCTGTGGAACTTACATTTGGATGTCCAAAATTCATAGCATGCGATGCCCAAAAACGTGTGTACTGTTGCTAGTTCTCAATAAGTTTAAAACTCAGACCTAGTGCTTTCCCCTCCTTCGGTGTGAACTCACAGGAGTTACCGTGCCAGGACACTAGGGGGACCGTTCAGATGAGAGTGATGTGGACGTGAATTCAACAAACCTCACCTACAACTAATTAAAAAAATTGTCCAACAGGTTTCAGTCACCCGTGCCGCTACTTGACTGGGAAATCCTGACAAGCATGTCAATCGACATAGCCAGGACAGTGACTAGATCACCTTTCGAAATGTCAAGCAAACCAATCGCATCGCCCGAGAGTGAGCAAGTCTGCCCGCTCAGGTTCGGGTGCTTCCGAGCGGTATTTGTAACATGCTTTCATCTCACGTCACATATCCGGAAATCAACCCCCTTCACGGCTAGGAATGCACGTACATTACGACAATGGTTAACAAACTTTGCATTCTGCAGCATGTAGATCAGGGCATATTGTGTTCAAATAGTTCGTCTCAGAGTTTAAGCACATGCGTTTAACCAACAAAACCTCACTCGCATGCGTCTTCGTCTTTTTGCACAGTCCAAGCTCACTTAACAACTGGCTAAGTTTGAAAATAAACGGCTGCAAACAGAACATCAGGATATACGAAGACGTGATCAATTTGTTGTAAGCACTGTATGCCACAAACTAACCAACACTAGACAACATATTTCCACATAATGGGATGGGAGCCCATTGGTTTCATATAGCACCGTTAGCTACGTATTCAAATAGTCAGGAAAAATTCATTTCTATTACTAACCTTCTTCTATCCATCTCGTATTTCCAGGCTCAATATCTGTTGGTCTTTTGGCTGGTTCGCCAGATATTCTGTGTACTCTGAAACCAAACGGTGTTGAGTAGTAACGTGCCGTCTGATTCAAGGCAACACATTTTGCACGGAAATTGCTCGCCTCTCTACTCAGTCCAGTGTATTCGATGCGGTTCTCAATAATCACCACCGTATTGGCCAACATGTTTGGATGAACTCTTTCGCCGGTGTACTTCTCCACCTCCCATATGTAGGTGGCGTCTGGCAGGATGAAGTTCAAATAACCGTCTGAAAAAAATTAAGTTGGTAATGCTGATTTATCAGATGCTTTCAGTCGGATAACATTTTAACAAAACCGTATTCCTCATTTCATCCAACCTATTCAGTTTCAGCATCTCTAATATTTGGGCGGGCCTCACATGAACTGAGCAGTGATTTTGCTTTGAGGTTTGTTGAGTTTTTCTAACTAGTTGGCAGCAAAAAGCGGTCAAAGTTAGAACTACCGGTACTGTTGTTGTTGTCGGGACCCTGGATAACGGTTCGGTCGGTTGACCTGCAGGGTTAAAAAACCCTTCATGCCTCAGTAACTTGTGTCCAATTGATCTGAATTTTCAGCAACCAAGAGAATGATGCTGAATTTAGTACACGCCGAGATAATTTTACCATCATTTTTGCAGAGACACTTGGACGAGTTTCAACTGACTTGCTTTCTGTATGAACGTATCATCTCCGAGAAGGATAGACTATAACGTTCTTTGTACACAGAAATGGTCGGGATAATGTGGCTCTTGTAATTCTACTCCAAAGTTTTAGATGTTGCCTGCTTATTTTTGCTTTGTGGTTGCAGATCCATACCATGTTAACTCGACAAACTTTTCAACGCGATCGTGAATGAACATAACCCATACTGGTGTTGGACTGTGTGTGAATCAAAGCAACTCATATATATATTATGTAAATTTAGGCTTAAAAATTTGAGCTTTCAAAAGAGTTTCGTAAGTGCATCATTAAACTGGAAGTAATTCCCTACATAGTCCCGATAGCATTCGTCTCCTGGGGGTGTCGTAGAACAAAAATGCAACCATTTATATGTTTAAGAACTGCTACAAAAAGAAGGGGGCTACCCAGGAGAGTCTTAAACATCCTGTGTGAATGGCATAGAAGAAATAAAACAAAAATGGAGGTAACCCTCCCGAGCAAAAGAAACCCCTCCTACAAAGGAATGGGATACGGAGAACGGCAGATATGGTTGGTCACTCACCATAAGCATTACAGGTAATAACTCCATCTGATCCTTCTTCTCCCTCGATTAATCCCGAATCCGTCAGCTCTTTCACTTTCACGTTTACCTTGTACACTGAAACGAAAATATTGAATTAGTTCCTGTATGACTGCATTGTAGAAGAAAATGAAGTAACCAAGTCGTGTTTCGGGACGACATCAGCTGCAATATTTTTATTCCGGAGATGAAAAAGAAAGAACGTCGTCTCTTGTCCACTCTGAACCCTTCTGATCTTTCTGTAGAAGCTTGCTTATAGAGAAGTTTGGGGGGACATGAATGAGACCAATAACTGAAATATCCTCTTTGGTGGCCTTTCTTGTCAGAGGAGAGGGACACTACCGCAGGATATGCTGTTCAAATAGTGCGTGATTTTGTTAAGGTTGTCTTGCAACGCATACACGGTCGACATGTTGTAATCACATCAGACAGCGGGTTACCTGGCACAAGAAGATTCTTTAGGGTTCTATGATTCATAATGAGTAGGCACATTATTAGCCTTCTGAGAATTGTAGCCATTCAGTTCTTGTGGGGAAGCGTCTGGAATCTACCGATGGGATGATGCCTATCGGTTTATCCGCCAACAGGATACTTCGTCACGCAAATATGGTTATACCAGCAACTTTTGATATGAATTACAGGTAATAGCTTCTTACACAGCGTCGACTGTCATTCAGAATGTGTTGAGCTGCTCCACCACAGAAAATCAAGTGACACCATTTACAATATATGTTTGACAAAACTGTAAAATGTGAGCAGTGCAATTATTGTTATAATCACTTACAGAATTATGGAGGACTGGAACGTTTCAGTCGAACTAGCTGGAGTGACTTTACTGAATTAGGCACGAATATCCATTACTGCTGAACGGATGTTGATTATGATGATGGAGATAACGACGATAGTTTCGACGAAGACTAATGCATTTGGTCTTCGAATTAAGGAGGCGATATGTCTCGCGAATGACTACCGAATATTGAGGTTAACGTAATATTACAAGATCCAAAGCATCATATTTTGACGCATCCCATGGATGGACTACGTTCATTCATGTTCATTTAAACGAAAATGCAAATTCCTTACTGGGTACACTTTCAGTTAATACGCGTACAACAAGAATTTCAGAGAGAAAAGGCACGTGAACCTTCCACCTGAATAGTATCACCCAAAAGAGCTGTCGACACTAGGTGATGTAACGTGGACTGATTACCTGAAGGGTAGTGATGTCATGTGCTGTTTAACCGGGAGTTGATCACACTGCTGAGCAGGCAATCATGACCCAACCTTATAGTGTACAATTGCCAACCAGATAACGGCAGATTGATGTCTTTAAACGAGGATAAACCATGCACCTCGGTATTTCAGTATGAGTGGATTTCGACTGAAGAGTAAAGTCTCAGTTAAGGATGCACTTTCATAAACAGCTGAGTTTACTGAGTAAACGTCAAAGTTCACTTCACTACTGATTACCACCGATTTGTTTCCTTAGTGGTACATAGAACGGCGCAATCAGGTGGCACGATGAGAGAAAGGGCGGAGTAGTTTATGTCGACTGAAGAACACGATAAACTTGTAGTACGCCTCAAATGACTGACTTAACTCGATGTGACGAGTTCGCAGCTGACCTTTTTTGATAAGGTCACAGCGTGACGGACAAGAAGTGCGTTAGAATCCCCGTGTTAAATAGAAGAAAGTGATTTTCGGATAAGTGTAAACCTTAACAAAAGCAGCAGAATTTTAGTTTTCGAGGAGCTAAGACTGTAAAGAATTTTTTCAAGCTGAAAATTGCAAGTGTTCAATCGAGGCTTTCAGTGCTATAACTGTGAAACTCTGGGTTGTGGAACCTCAATTAAAGGGGCTAGAGTAACATGACAAGGAAATAGAAATAAATCTTAAGGCAGGAATTCAGATATAATATTGATAGGAAGGTTGACGTTCAACTTATGCGTGGTTCTTTTCTGGTCGACCACAGGCTATTTAGCTGACTCTGGTGACGTGATCTTATCTGGTAACCCAAAGATCATGGGGTCCCTGACAATGAATCCTCTTCGTGTTTAAGAACATCGTTCCTGACGGGAAGTGAAAGTGGAGCATTTTGAGCTTTGACCTCTCTAGTAAGCAATCCTACAAAACTGAAGGTTTGCAGAATGCTCCTTATTTGAAGATAACTGGTCCATGCATCACTGTTGGCCAGCAGAAGAGCTCAGCAGCGGTGGAGACAACCTGCAGCGCACGTACTTTCAACCCGGACTTGTGTTTGTTGAACGACATTCCCAGTTGAATCGAGTGCTGCACACTGGTATAGACCAGTGTGTTTGCCTTTGGCGTCAAATGATGCCGCGTTCAGTTGGGCCCAATACAGTCTACCGGATTTGACCTGAAGACCTTGTTGCATCAGCAGTCGACTCATTCCGTCATTAGCAGTTCCGGCTCGCTTGACAGTCCACTGTAAGCCTCCCGCCGGTGGAGGATGTCCGTAAAAGACGCACAAAAGCTTTAAAAATAAAACAGACATGTGTGAAAATGATGAGCACAAACCAAGGGTAAAACGGTTTTTGGAAATAAAGTGTTGTTTATCAAACCTCTTTGAAATGCGCTGCAGCAGTTGTTGCTTCTCAACTAAGGTGGTCTAAAATGAATCAGAAGCAAGAGCTTACCAAGAAAACATTGATTTTAGACGTCATTTTTTTATTCGACCTGGACTAATTTAGTACTATGGTTTGGAATAGTACCACTCATCCTGAGTGCATTGTTTCCATCAGTCGGACGTTCAGTTGGTGGAAGTAACGAAATTAGTTACAATCGCGATTTCTTGAATATCGTACCAACTGAAACGAGGCGACCTTGTGCAGTGCACTCAGCTGCTTGAAAAAACATCATAAACGAGAGATTCAGCTGGGTTCCAGGTGAGTCTCCCGCAAAACCAAATTTGTTTGCAACTTATCGCAATTTATCGCAGAGGCTCTATCTAAGCTTCCACGGCTTTGTATGACAGATATGCTATTTCAGTTAAAGAACACTTTCCAGAAAGGTTGATGTAGTTTCGATAGAGGCCATTTGCACCATGTCGAACAAATAAAAGTAATCCAGAAACTCCTGGTGTATGAGGTGGCCATGGAACCTAACTTGACCTCATGATAATTCCCCCATATTCATTTGTCCATCACTTTTGATCCTCCGCTTGTTTTGCTTATCTGCACCCGACACTCACCTTGCCGCAAAGGCCGTCCCATCCGACCCTTTAGTGTTAGCGTGCCTGTGCAAATGTGCGCAGCTGACCTACATGCCGATGTGCGTTCGTGTCCCGCTTGTTGGGCGTGTCGTGACCTGTTTTCTCATACGGTCAGTGTGGTCGCACCGCCAATGAGAATCACGTGACCGTCGTCGGAATGGACGACTGCAACCCACACTATCGAGCCAACATTGGGCTCGCCATTGTTTGGTTTGCGGACTTTGACACTGTACTGTGCTGGTCAGCAACAGACTTGTGCACTTGTTGACGCTACGAGCGTGAACAGTTGAGGTTTGTTGTGCACATTTGCTTACCCTTGTGAAAACATTGCCGCAGGATTTCGAAGGCAATTCTTCCTTTCAATCTTCCGGATTGTCGACCGACGCGTCACTTAGGGTTCCGTACGGGAACCCCAGCAGTAATATCGATATTTTGGCATCATCCAAGGCTCATGACCGGATACGCGAGTTACAGCAAAAACGCACTAGTGTCTACGGTGCCAATAGAGCCAGATGAAGGGAATGAATTTCCGGATGTGATGCTCATCCGAAAAAACAACGGGTCACTGTCAAGCAACATCTCTAGGGATCCTATGTAGACAGGGCAATATCTGCATTTTAAAAGTTTCGTACTGATGGACAAAAGCTTGTTGCAGTCAATGTTTGCTTTAATAGGAGTCACAGCATTTTCACCTCAGACAAAAGGGAGCAACTATAATCTAACTGGAAACGACCATTCATTAAAACTTTTTAACCGGTATACTAAACCCTTACAAAAGTTGATTTGTTGTAGGTGGTTAAGTGATCGGTAGGATTCACATTCACGTCACTGTCCTCTGAACAATCCTCATCCAGTCCTGATCATGAGTCCACACAAAAGCGGAAAGCATTGGAATCGCATTTCACCCTTATTAGATCTCATCAGTAGTGCGCACATCCTCGACCGTGCCGAGGGCTAAACTGTGGAAATCATACGTACGAAACGAGCTTTCCACCGCTATTCCAACGGCACACATGAACAATCCTCCTGTACACGATGGGGAGTGGCCTGTGATTAACGGTCCATCGACTTGACAGGTCAAGACACTTTGTATAAAATGCATTTGACAATTTATGTTCATTGTTTAGTACTATCAAGCAGGTGAATGGGTAGACAAATTAAGAGGATTCAGAGGTTTCCTATATTGCTGTAAAGACAATAAAAGTTGAACATAACCATTTCCTGATTAACTATACAAATTAAACGAAAACTCAACAGGTTTGTTTCTGTTTCCGTACTGCAAACTTCGCAGTTTGCTGTAGGTCGCGAACCACTGGTATGCGCGTAGAGGTGGCCAAGAGGCTGTTGCGGGAATTCGAATCAACATGTACGTTACGTGATGATTTCACTGTGGGCCTGCTGCTATTTTGTTACGACAAAGTACATGCATCTTTAGAATAAGGTACTCGGTGCAAGTCTGCGCTTCAGGTAACTGTTCTCTTGGAATTGCTGTACACTTTCTCTTCGTGAGGCTCAGATCGTGGCATAACAGCAGAACAACACGTTATAGATCAAAATATAGCCACCGGTGTTACTTGGTGGAAAACGAGCCCGCTTACCTAGAAATCCTGGCCAGTTCCGCGGTCAAACTGATAAGATCGCCCTTGAGTTCCTTGAAGGTCACTAACACGAATATTACGTTCCCTAGTTCGTCTTTCGTGACAGCGTCTTGTTGAGACCTCCATAACCGCTGCCGAAAGGGAAGACTCAGGCTTTTCTAGCCCCGGGGCTTACTGTGTACCGCTGTTTACAGGTATTCATTCAAGTAAGTAAGTCACACCTCACAAACTATGGGCTATATCAACACCAGCACAACCCAATGCCGTGCCACTCGGACTTCTCAGTTGATGGTGCTATTAGTTCAGCTGCCCTACGTGGGTCTTGTATTCAATTTTCAGATATCTTGAAGATGCCAATCAATAATCTGCCTAAGGGACGCACAACAATAGCTGGTTGACCGATCTGATTCGGAAATTACACTTTTGAATTTGCTGTAGAACGGGAGAACGAAGCCTTAATAACGGACGCGTATCGGTAGCACTGAGTAGCGTCGTGCGATTACGCACGTGCTTACCGCTACCGAAGAACGATTATCGAGCGAGACAGGGGGAGTTAAGAGAGAACAACGAAGAAAGACAGGAGTTATCAGCAGTCTGATGCTCTCGGGTGTACACCTTGTTGTGTGCAGAGAAAAACCTACTCCTTTTGATGCCGTCACGCTACATGAGTGTACTTTTAGTTGCGTACTTCGTAGTTGTGTGTGGACTGATATAGTGCCAGGATAACTAAATGAGGAGGACAACGAGAACCCTCAACAGCCGGAATATCAAGCGGTGATCATCGGCGTAAAACCACTACAGTAACCTACCTTTTAAGGATCCGTGTAACACACCCGTTAAACTCGCAAACTGGAGGGCCAAGAGGATGTTTACTAAACCTCTGTTTATTGGTCGACTTACTGGGAGACACTTTTTAGATGTTGCTTAGGCATCCTCGAGCTTGGCTCGATAAGTTGCTAAGATGCACAGGCCGTCGCCCTACAATAAGGTTAATTCTTTTTGTGATGAAGTTACTAAAGGTTGATGAGTCAACAATCTCATTATTGGGACCGTGCAGAGGTTCAGTTGTCTTCCATTTAGGATCACGGTTAACCTGTGGTTGTCTGCATAAAGCATTGCATGCTGCTATTCACCTCATTACCCTGAAACACTTACTAGTGGAATTGGCCACTAGGTAGGCTCAAATATAGGATCACTTGTTCATGCACTCACCTCAAAAGGCTGTCCTTGGATCACTCTGGTATACGGTACTTCATCTGTATCGCGGAGTATCTCATGAGTTGATGACGTGATCAGAAGTTTGTGATCAGCGGCTGGAATCGGCTCTATGGAGATAGGCCAGGAAAGGGGAACCAATTACTTAAGGTTGCATGGGCACAAAGTCATTCAATTGTGAGTCGTGAAGAAACTAATTCGAACACGCTCTTGCAATTGTAAAAGCAGTTTCAGGAGTGAAAGTTTGGTGGCTAGCCCACGAAATTCCATCTGGCTCAATGTTTTTACTTCACAAAAACCTGTTTTGCAGAAGTAAATATCACATGAAATTGCTATGCGTAAGATACGGGAGGTCCGAAATTCCCCAACGAATTCTTCTTCCTTTAAGTTAACTATTGTTAAAAGGGTTTATGCCATATTGCTGAAAGGCGCGAAATGTTTCGGTTCGGTGAAACGGACGCGATTGTAGTACTAAACCATCAAGAATGGACACTAAGAACCCAAATATTTCTTGTAAGGGTGGGTCACTTCAGCGCTGGATGGTCCCAAGTTTACATGTTACGTCGTAATGGTGATTCACACGTTCTTTGAGCCTATCCTTCTCCAGTTGTGCATCAAAAGTGGGACGCTGCGCACGTCCAAATCACATGGTGCGGTCTCATGCTCAAATGCGCAGGCCAAGGTGACAAGTCCATGTCCTGATTCTGAGTCCTAAGATATCTCTACTAGATTCGCACAGTCCAACATATGTCCCATTTTGTTCTATTTAATGTCGACACAACAAGTAGTGGTGGTCTCTTTAAGTCCTTCCTTGTCCGCATGCCTACAGCAAACTGAGTAGCCTTTGCACCTCCACTTCACTTTAGTCGTATGACTATAAGTAGCCCATGCATGACGAATACATAACATCTATTGAAGGAACCCGGACAGCTCACATTGCGGACTTACACTGCAACGAACACGGTCCGAATTCAACTTGGCTGCCAGCACTGTTCCTGTCGTGCTCTAAATACGTGGTTTCATCATTAAAATGTACAAGCAACTCCCCATACAGTATGAAACAGAATTTTACTGTGCACTTTATGTGTCAAATTTCCGCTTGAAGCGTCGCAAAAAAGTTCATGGTACACTAAGGTGGGTGACCCTTGTAGCTGCTCATTAGACATTGCATTTTCAATAGTTGAGTGTTGCACGGTGGGCATTTCATGCGGGCATCAACAGTGAACCTACTTATGGTAACTACAGGGAACGGATATGAACATCTCGCTTCATACGAGGTGTATGTGGTGACAAATGCTGCAAGCACAGCAAAACCTTTGCACCATCGAAGGGTCATATTTTTATCTGAAACGCCGAAACCTTCAAGGATAACTGCAATTCCCATAGGTTCCAAGCGCCGAGTGTTTTCCTCTATCTTTTTATGGCTCGATGTCTATTTCTGTTCCTCTCTACGGTACAACTACCATAGAAGGTGACCTGTTTGGCCCCTTCCACGTTATACGTCTGTCCGTCACGTTACTACCTGGGTCACCGTATTTATGTGTTTCCAGTGATAAGCTAACGGGACATACCAGAGTCTTCGCATTGGTAATCGAAGCACGCAGCAGCGGTAAGGGTAAGAATTTAACAGCGTTTGTCGGTGTAACGTCAGTCGACGTCTAAGATGATTTTATGTGTGAAATGGAGGGAAAATACTAAGGTTCTAATACGTGTAGCGCCGGCGAAATTGCCCTGGTCTACCACAAATAGACAGCATAGTAAGCCCAAGATGGGGAAGAAAATTTTTGAGGACAACCAACCCGCACTACCGGATGACCTTCACCTAGAAAACGCTTATCTAAGGGAGAGCTGACGCAATTAAAGTTAACAGAAGCATGCAGGATGATGTCATAGAGCCATACCGATGACAAAAACTTAGAAAACCATGTAACATTAACACATACCTTTAGGCATCACATCAAGCGGGAATTGGATCTGCTTATACGCTGACGAATACGGATTGACGGCCTTACACGTATAGATACCTCCATGCTTGCGTGGGTCAAATTCCTCGATTCCATTGACTTTCCATATTATGGTGGCAGAACTTGGCTTCTGCTCAACATTTTCCTGTGGATGACAAAGAAATGCTCAATTTCGTTCAATGGTAACTAGCGCACGACAGATTTCGCTGACCATGAATGACATGGTCCTGAATTTCTACTAATCAAGTCTCAAAAGCCTGCTAACTCACTCAAATACTGAGTGGTACTCCTCAATATGCTCTCAATATGTATCAACATCACCAGAACCAATAGCCATAGGAATAATGCCTCTGACAGTGAGGTTTTTTGTTCACTATTCACTAACAGGGTGTGTGCTTCCTTTCCCCCGGTCAAACTCTTCCCTTGTCTGCTGCTGTCTACTTTGCTGCTGTTCACTGCGTCTACCTCATGAATTCGATATGCATTTGTAATCCCTCATGAACTTTTAACTCTTGACTTGTCGAACCAATTTGGTCGGCCATCCCCTTTGACCACTTTGCGTTACCATGTGTTGTACCCAGGCGTGTGTCGCAAACTAAGATTAATCTGCCATCTTCTACGGGCTTTCTTTGGACTTGCACTACTTTGTGCAGCAGTTTAGACTGAACCCCCATTGTTTGAGGTTTATACCCCTTTTATTACGAATTCCACATATGTAGCACCGCATTTTTTGATAAATCTCAAGAATCCACAATTTCTGGCTTGTGATTTTGCGCATCACTCAAGTGGGCTTTCCTGAATACGTCGAAGTATTCTACAGGGTGCAATACTGCATTCGGAAAATCCCGCTTGAATTGGGAAACCCCCAGTCTCGTTTACTTCTGGCTGAGAAGAGAAGGGTCCTGAATACGTCGAAGTATTCTACAGGGTGAAATACTGCAATCGGAAAATCCCGCTCGAATTGGGAAACCCCCAATCTCGTTTACTTCTGACTGAGAACAGAAGGGCACCTTTCTTAAAGAGTGAACCACCTATAATATGGTCTGTTCATTAAAATCAAAATACATATTATACAGAAATGAACACTTTGAGAACTTTTTAAAAACGTGTTAATTTAACCTGACAAACGGCTTCTGATTCTAATTCCTCCTACCAGGTTAAGATAATGGTCGATTTGGCTAGCAATCAGGTTCACTATGGAAAGTTTAACGTCAAAACAGAGCGTAGTGGAATAACATGCTTGATACGATGATTTGGTTGCCATGACCAGATCAGCTTCGATGACTCGTATACTCCATTCGGGATTCAGGTCACACGTGGAACGGACGTGCACTGAAATGTTAGAGATCAATATACAGCCGAACTGCGTCAGCCGTGGGGATAGGGTCAGCAACCCGTCTATCTGGTCTGGACTCACTGTACGCCCAGGGGCCAGATTTCAAGCAGGAATCCCAACATTGACGCATCACAGCTAACACAACACAAAACTGAGGCACATCCCAGCCAAAGCACACAGGCACGCGCACGCGTACGGAAGGAACACATTTAAACGATGTTCACATCAGACTGTCAACCGGATCACACCAGTGAGAAGAAATGTTAGCAGATCCTCTCAACGCTGCACTTGGCTTTTATAAAGCTGATTGTAATAAATAGTCGAAAAAGATACCAACACAAACCGAAGGGTAGAATTTTAAATTATTCCACTACACTGAGTTCCAATTTTAAACTTCCCGTATTACAGACCACATATCTCAGTTTGCTTAATAATTTCCGGGCCGAGCTTGATTCAGAACTCTTAATCAGGCCCAGTAACTCTGCATACTTTGACCTGTTCGGATGCATAAAATAATTTCGGGCGTGCCATTGGATTTGAGATCCCTACAGTGTGGTGTTTCGAGCACCAGTGATAAACCCACAGAAGATGAGCGAATGAGCGAGCAACAGCCGGATGGACGAGGCCTGGAGGAAAAACCTGGAGAAGGTGGCTGGAGCCACTACTTCGATGTAAGAGTGGTAGATACACAAGGGAATTCAGCGAATGAAACAGATGATCCCAAGGCTTGACGAAAATTGGGAAAAACGAGGGAATTCAGTCCGGTAGAAGACTCGTAGTAAAAAAGTTTAAGCTTTTTCAGTAGTGTTAAACTGTAAGAGAATAACAACAGTTCGTCTTGAAGAAGAGATAATTGGCACACCTTACTGAGAGTCAGCTAACGGTGGCTTGTCGGCTCCAAAGCTGATATCCACGTCTTCTCAACAGTAATTATAAGGGTTTTAGACACGATGTAAACAATGACTTTCTGATTTGTAAGGCAGGTATGAGAAAATTGATATTTTCCAAAACCTGGGGTGAACCTAGCTGACGTAAGATGATTTGGAAGGATTGGAAACTGTTTGGCTATTCAGTGGTGGTCTGCTGAGCACATCATCCTGAGGTGAAGTTTTGCAAGATGGCTATGTCTATCGAATAATCAATTTCGCTGTGTACTGTAGGGATTCTCTGGCTATTCAGTGGTGGTCTGCTGAGCACACCATCCTGAGGTGAAGTTTTGCAAGATGGGTATGTCTATCGACTAATCAATTTCGCTATGTACTGTAGAGATTCTGTCTTTATTCTGGATAGTGACACTGCTCAAGTTTATCTTCGAATACGTTAGATTACTCTGGCTCAGGTAGTCTGTACTGCCACTGTACTGCACTCTAGCTCTCGAAAACTGTCTTCAAGCTTAACGGGTTGCACAGTATCAGTAACACAATGTCGGATATCTGTGTATTGACTTGGTTTTTTNTGGTTTTTTAAAATTTTGATCATCTCGCTTGCAACTAATTCCTGCTGGTTGAAAAAAACTTTGGTTTGCCTACGAACCAGCATTCGTTTCGAACTAGAAGCCAGTTATGGAAATTTTTTGGATTCAAAACATAGTGTAGTGGAGTAAGATGTTATAATCCGACGTTTCTACAACCAAGTTCATTATTTATTTATTTCCAAGCAAAATTACTCTAAGAGATTGTGTGGTTTTAATTGAATAAATGACACTGGAGAGGTGATAGACCAGTGCGCATTAGAAACGAAAATGCAAAAAGAAAAAAGTTGTGAGGAAATTACCAAAAATGCTGAAAGGCTGCATTCGTTTGTCCCGTACTCGTCCGTTCTGTATTTATTACCAGACACCAAGCAAACAAGTGCTGCACTACTAATAACATCGTTTGCCAGAAGAAACATAACTATGATATGAAGACATGTACATCGTTCTGTGGCAACCGATGTGAGTTTGTCTGTGAACTCAGTTGCGGAAGATTACTGATAAACGTACGTCACGCCGTGTGACCTCGTATTGGTCTTTGTGCCACTTTAATAAGTCACTAGTGAGATTTCATAAACGCTTGGTAGCCAAACTTAATTCTACTTCCCTCTAAGAATGCACCGCAGGTGAGAACACGAATTTGGAATGTACTAATATTGTACTGTCCCGGGAAGGGACAGTGTGATTGTAAATACCAATACAATGCACTTACCGGTGCCGTTGCATCTTCGTTTCGGATCCAAGATACCTCTGAAGGATATTCCTTGTTTTCATCAACACATTCAGCTCGAGTTGGGTAGAACGGGAACGATGGTCTGCTCTCAGCTATGATGCGGAGCTTGGGGGCCCGGGATGCTGTTACATAGAAGAGGAGATATAATCTTATCAGCTTCTCAGTGGATAGTATTTACAGTATATGGCCATTACCAGAAAAACTGGGCCGCAATAATCGCCTTTGTATAGTATGAAGCGGTTCAGCTAATGCATCGGGGAAGAAACCCGGAGAAGCTTGAATAATTGAGTTTAATAATGTTGACATTAGATTGAACTTTGTAGGGTAGCCGCTTTTCGATTTTTATTCTCTTCAGCTTACCGATATCACCCGCTAGTACCTCGAGAACAGCCCAGTCCGAAGAGGCACTGACATTGGACAGAGGATCTGTAACTGTGCACCTAAATCTCCCAATCCATTCTGGGGGTCGCCTGAGACCACCAACTACCAGTGAATTGTGGATTTCCTGTTTAAGTAACCAAGGCATATCATGTAGTGATGGTCTCGTTTTCAATTCTCCACCGTCATGAATGTTCTCAGGTCGAACTTCGGTCTCCCAGGATATTTGTACATTTTCCACTGGCCGGTTGTGCCACAAATCTGGTTCAAGAAGAAAGAAAGAGAGAATCATGGTCCTTGACGGCTGATACAATAGCATCAAGGTCAAGTATAGATTACAGCACATATAAAGGTAAGGTCCATTTGTGACAAGGTGGAAAAAAGCCTCAGCTTTGCTGTATTTCCTACGCTGTCAACTGACTAAAGACTGGCTCGATAGTCAATGGAATGAATTTTGTGCTGAGATGCATACCAACTGCAGGCGCTCAGAGAGGGAAACAGGGCTGAGAAGTACAGTGACCGGTCCATTCTATTCGGAAGTATTTAGCGTCATTGTGGAATAGTTGATAGTGAGCCCACTCATGAGGGGGAAAAGCTTCACATAGAGTGGTTCCCTAAAAAAAGACCACTCATTGAGGACTGCTCAAGTTATCGTATTTGGAGCGTAGTTCCCCTAACGGAAAACCTTCCTATCGAACGTAGAGCAACTATCACCATTTGGACAACAGTAGAATGAAGAACTCATTGCCACCATCATTTTTGACAGTACCACAGTGATGCAGTGCGGCTAATGAAATGATTTTGTGACCCCCCACATAGTTCCTAAAGATAAAGTCCTCCATATGATCCATTGCCATTACCGTCCAAAAAGTTCTGTGTCAGAGGGTGCGAAATGCTACTGCTGTAAAATCACCAGCCCAGAAGGAAGTATTAAACGCTTCTGAGCCCACCCATATACGTGTTCTGGTTGTGAATCTATTTGCTGTTTACTAAAACAACAGCTGAGTTCACTGCACTTTTGAGTACATCTTTCTGGTGTATGTTGTGCGGCTGTGGCGGTACTGTAATGATGGCAAGCTCGAGTGGCTTAAAGAATGCTGTCACTTGGAGTTTCAAGTTATACCTTGTAACTTGTGTACACAAACCCACACACAGATTCTCTCATACCACCATACAAAGCTGATGGACGCAAGCGACGCGAGCTTCACCTATGGAGAGCATCGCCAAAATGAGGCGTCGGTCAGACCGGTCACACCGCTCAAGTATAAACACGTTCACCTGTTCAAACGTGAAAATTCACGCATCCAGTGTGCACTAGTGGAGCAGTGGTAACGCTCCTCTCGCATGTCAGATGTCCGGAGTTCAGACTCCTGGAACTACATTCACCGCAGAGCTCTGATGAGGGTGAAACACTGGCCCAGTTGTTTTCCACGTTTGGTGTGGACTCGCCGGAATAATGGCGTCAGGACAGTTGGATAATAGTTCTACAGACTCAGCAAACACCAACAACTAAGAAAATAATGGGGTTGACGCTTGCTGAAATCGATCTTCTTAAGGTAGAGGAAATTAACGAAACCAACAAACTTATTATGCCCAATGCAGCCGGTAACAGATCTCATGGAAGCGAATTTCCCCAAGTCACTTTTTCGGGTCCACTCGCACAGCCTAGCGAACTCAAACTCCAACCTAATGGACCCATCTGATAAGTGGCCTCTTCTGAGATAGTTCTGCTTTCTTAAACAACGGCTTGCATCTTTCTGGGTAGAACACACACATTAGAGACTATCTTTAAGGTGTTTTTTCATGCCGTTCCCATCACTGAATGAATCACCTGAATGGACCTACCAAAGTTGATTTATTGCGCCTTGCTGTAAGGTGATGTGGTTGAAAAGTCGCCGAAATGTTGGAATACTGATTTTTAATTCAGTCTGGCGTGCTGGTGTGCAAGGGAAAAAATGCCCATCCTCACTGTAGCGGAGGAAAGACTCCTACTGGGGTCGATGTTGTATCCTCAGCTGCTGGCTAGACTTAAAAAATGTGTCCATCTTTACTGTGTGGGTATATATTCAACTATGGGCACTCATGGTCGCATACCAGCGATGTGCATTTTGGCCCCTGACTGCTGTTGCTATTCAAATGATTATATCTGCATATTCGGTTATAGTCATCCTCACAGCTCTTTCTGATTGAGCGCCTAGTTTTGCGAACGCATTGCAGCGATAGGTTCACACCACATTCGCCGGTATGGTTGAAATAAACCAGAGTGGGTTGTTTTATAGGCTGATCCCTAGTGAGAATGGTCTCTCCAGAGAAGCGCCAAGAACAGGCCAGTCTCAGTTGATCACCTGGGATAGGCTCTAGAGGAGTGAGTCAGAAGCGGTCTCTTTATTTTTTGGTCCGTCCTGGGAGTTTCTTGTGGGAGAAGATGGCTATATAATCAATATACCATTCATATGGGATACTGGAGGGAAGTTTTTGTTTAGCCTCTTTTAGTCTTTAATAATGTTTTGGACCAGCTCAAGAGATATCGATTCCCCTTGGTTCATTTAAGTTATCTTCTGTAAGAGTGGCCGCTGAAGTACTGTCTTGCAGATGAAAAAACCTGAGCTTTGGGACATCTAATTACATTTGAAGTAACCTTCAGTATTAGGTGGTTCGCCAGCTATGTTCTCGAACCTCGGTGTGAGAAAGCTCAGTTTGTGAGGATTATAGATTTTAGATGCGGTCCCCTAAAGGTATCGGACTTAGGCCAAATCTCACGGGGCCTCAACGAAGTGGTCCACAGTCTTGGGAGGGAGGGACCTTACTGGGCAGACTAATCCATTTGATTGCAACTCGTTCTTTTAATCAGATCATGCGTACGCCTAGCGCCATCCGCCGCAGGTGAGATGGCGGATAGTGAGTTTAGTGATCCCTTGAGTCTTGCCACACTGGAACTTGCGATGGCAACTGGTACCTCCTTTACCGAGTTCTTTACTTCCCTTGCAACGTCCACACCTATTCCGTTACCCAGGCAAGACCAAGTGTCTTGCTGAAAACGAGAGACCCAGCTGGATCCAGTTGTGTTTCCTGTCAAGACCAAATTGGTGAGCAAACGAGAGTAGTTAGTGAGAAAATCCCTTGGATCCAGAATCTAGGAGGCTCACTTGGTGTCACGATGTCATCAACTATCAAGGTTAATTTTCTTCCAGCATGGCAAGCAAGGAGTGATCCGAAGACTGGATCAATGAAATTAGCATGACCTGGGAAGAAGTTCCTCCACAACGCACCCTAATAGAATATTCCAAAACCAGAGTTGAATGAGTGAATTTCACTCTTGCACTCCTTATTTCAGTGGCCATAATTCCCTTATACTCACTACCAGTTGAATTTCACCGAGCCCTACTTTAACATCTGCTGGTCATGGAACTTGGAGATGAGTAGGTTTATTTTAATGTTGGCCACATGTCTGTAAGGGGAAAATGTGTCTCTAGCATCACCAACAGTAACTTCGATTTCCAAGTTTTTAAGGAAAAAAGAAAGGTCAGCGGTGAATTGTGTAGGATAAGATGCCCCTTGAGAGTGGGTATTCTTGCCTACCTGTAGCTGTACAATAAAGTCTGATTGTCCCAGCTTCAGGTCCGACTACAACTCCAGGTCTGGCTAGTGGCTGTATCTCTGCCAATAGATTCGGACTGCGTATCCACAGCTCAACCGAAGGCGAAGGGTGATATGCTTGAAGTGCGCTGGTTGCATCGACCGGGCGTGCAACACAGAAGATTTGTGCTCCCGTGGGCCGTTTGGTTAATCCATTAAACCGAAGTATTGATCCATTGTCCTCTAGTTGAACGTTTTGCGCAAGTTTGGACTTGGAAACAGCATGGCGTCTGCCATTGGGGTATTGTACAAACCAGTCAATCCGCTGAATGGCAACAGGTGATCCACGTACCTCTGCATGAAAGAAAAGAGCGTCAGTCTAGAAAGCCAAAAAGGAGTCATCCATGACCATAAAAAATCCTCCTGGTAAGCGAAACATATCTACGTGATGAATTAGTTTCGTGTAGTCTGAAAACATCCGCTTACGTTTAACTTCGCACTGCAACTCCAGATCACTTCCAATAGTCCCGACAATGCGATCGCCGACCATATATTCACTTGTAACCTTCACTTTGTACGCTCTTTCGGTTTTGGAGATTACTAAAATAAAAGGAAATAACGGAGTATGTAAACAACATTTTCAACAGTTGTTTTTTTGTGTTATTTACCTCCTGGTCCGAGGACTGCGTGGCCCGAAAATCGATAAACAGAGTGAAACTAGCCCCTACTTTCGGAAAAGAAAACTATCACTGTTGCAGACCAAAGCTTCAATAAATTCTTTCGACCTCTGTCAAAAAAGCAGTAGATTTTACATTGATTACATCGTGTGGACACGGAAAACTTCCCTATTCCTGGTAGCTAATGGGCGACCGATAATTCACTGAAAAGCAAATATCTATCTCACAGAATGTTAGGTAATTTCTAGTATATCAGTCATTCCTTGAATAAGTAGTGAGAGGGAACCATCCTCTATGAGGTTCCCACGGAGTTAAAATTCATGATTATTCGAGCTGTTTCACATGATGATTTGGACAAAGCAGCAATAAAAACAGGGTTGCAGTTTGAGTTAATTTTGTGCACTCTTCCATAAAACAGCATATGATGTATAGTGCAACGCAGCTTACAACACTTGAATGGTTCCAAACGAACCTGATCGACCAATAAAACTGGGCAGTCTCTTAGTGACCTTTAGGTTTTTTCCGAGCTCACAGGATATGCTTCAGGACATTAATCAATGTAAACCTCAGAGAACTTCAACTTCTGTGGCCGTCTACTTCATGCTAAGACCTGGAACGACGGGTTAAGTTCGGTCGTGTGAGTGGAGTCGTTTAGACGTCCGGCGACCGATGAGCTGACCCTGGAATCGATCAGCGTTGGGTTAGGGACAGTTGACATGGTACAGAATTTCCGGTCCTTGTTCCAAATGAAGTGAACAGAAGTCCATGTTTTTCGACGTTGCATCACGCTGGCTCATAGAGTTGTTGCGAAATACAGGTAACTCGGGCTCACTGCTTGTTTGTTCCAGTACAAGTCAGATTCATCGCGCACAAGGCACTCTCCTGTTTGAATGTTTCGACACCTTACCAAAACAAATATATCTAAAATATTTATTCTGGTTAAGATATACTGCTATAGTAACACTATTGGTTCTCCATTTCGACTTGCTCTTGCAGCCTTAAATTCACTTACCTTTGAGTTCCACCACCTTTTCTTTATCGACAGTCTTGCAGGACACGGTCTTCCCGTCAAGATCCAGATTGGCTTCGCCTATTTCAACAAGTGACGAGTATGGCTTGTGTGTGAAACGCATGTTGGCGTTCACTTCAGAGGAGTCACTGCTCCAACCAAGGAAATCAGACGCAGGTCTTGCATCGTAATGACAGTAGAGCTAAAGTATAAGCAAGGAAAATTTCGAGATTTGATGCCAACACCATATTTCACACTAGGCTGACACAAAAAAGCGTTAAATCCGGGTGAAAAGCGAAATCGAGCTTAACATGCAACTTCGAAAATCAATATTCCACCTCTGCAGCCCGCTCAAGGTGTCAGAAGGACCACATACTACCGTGCACTGATCCGTCTTTCTATGAATTCACAAACATCACACACAAAGGAACTGTAGCCTTGAACGAATGGGATACACCAAGATCCCTCTAGCGAACCATAGAAAAGAGGTAGAATGAGTTGCCGCACGAAACTGAAGGTCCTAATGTTCACTCATGAACATTTGCAACTACACACACAACGGAAAAGCACTATATATGAAAAACCTCAACTAATGCCCCACTTTTGTCCATTGGTAAGATCCTGCCCATGAAGCTACTTGCCTAGGACAACTGATGTGAGATATTTAAATCTGGTATCCGCTCAGATTTGCGAAAACGCCTCAAGAACCTACTCGCAATCGGTCACCTTCCGTAACTTCGACAGAGGAGCGTCCATCCACTTCCTGACTCACAAGGGTGTCCGGCGAATATATGTAGATCCTTGAAAACGGATCTTCTGGGACTGAAACATAATAAAAATTCTCAATCAACTTGAATTTATATTAAATTAACCATTTTGTAGAGTGGCAACAGGCACTGTGACACATAAATTCACTTGAGTCATTCCTGACAATTTTTCCAGAGCGGTAGATTTCCTGACTAGACGGATAACAGAAAACGTAACGCAATAAAATGATATACAGTGGAAGGTTAGTTTGGAAACGTTGAAAGTGCGAAGTCACAATGGGTGTATTATTGTTGTAACTAACTGATGTCCCCGCTTTAGTGCCTGAATGCCGGAAAAAGACTCACCAACAAGGAATACAACACTTATTGTGAGCAAGCGAGTGAAAAAATCACTAGGGGCGTTGCGATATTTAAAGCGCACTTTTGGCCTTCAATCCAGGCTGTCCGGTCGGCTTGGATGAACGTTCATCGGCCGTTGCTTCTATGACATGCCTGGACGGGCTGTCGTTGAGTGACTGACTGCTGCAGCGTCCACTCGGCAGCTGGCTTTTCTGGTCCGGACGCTTGATGGCTTCCCAGTCGCGATTTTGGTGAGGTTCCAAGGGTCGCAGTGGGGCTCGAGCATTCTGGAATTATTTTCGAGAATCTGGCCTCCCTGACAGCCGTGATTAAAAAGACGCCAGGGTGTGCAAACAGACCACCTACTTAACGAACGGGTAAGCTGCCAAACGAGCTACCGCGGTTACTTGCTATACGTCACAATTATACAGGTGAATTTCACACGCGACTTAACTCAGCCCTACGAATCATCAGCGCCACCAGATACATAGGGCCTGCTGTTTCCAGCTGGTGTACAGTAGAAGGGCATTTTGATTAAGTTTGAAGGCATTTGGTCCAGGTACATTTGATGTGAATAAAAAAAATCAACGTTACTGGGTTCCGAACAGGAAGATGCCTGTCGGTAGAGACCACCTCACAGAAGCGGCGAGTTCGGCCGATCCCAAGACTTCGTCTCTCCTGAGTGCGTACCATACATAAGCGGCCGGGTACACCAGACCAATATTCGATGCTTTGAAACTATAGCATTTCCTATTACGACTATTCGAAAAAAGACTATGGCATTTGTTAAAAATCCTGATGGAAAGAAAGTAGACTTCGGAATAAAGAAGGTTCGGTTTTAAGGAGGTTTTTTCTCATCTAGCATGTGATACAAACTACATTTACTGATTTGATCAAGTTGAAGCAAAGCGGCCGGGTACAGAATAGTTTTGCACTATTCGAGTTACTTGGGGAGCGGAATCTTTAGAAAGAATGTGAAACAGTAAAGACTATTCCGGGTAACCAGGGTCAAAACCACCACAAGGATCGGATCACGTAATTCAAAAGCGTCTGGATCGAGATTAAGAAACGCGTCTTCGCCTATAATACCGTGCGCACTATGACGTCACCAGGTGGGCTGGCGCTGGAGATATGGAAACCTGATTTTAAGCGTGAAGACAGCGGATATTGACCTTGCTTACTCAACGTTCACGGGAACTACTAATGGGTACAGGAATGGCATCACTCTATTTCCATTTGTTCGAGACAATGGTCCGAGACATGACACAACCGCTACCACAATTTGAGGGGAATTAGTTTAAGTGCGTTAGCGTAAAGCAAAGTAAGGACTAAGACCATGTATCTTTGTTATGCCAAGCAATCATGCAGGAAATCCCTTTCCGTTTATTGGATGAGCTCAATATGAGAGAAGGGCATCAGATTCTGAGAACATAATATCCAGTTAAGTTTTAATCCCTTGGCTTGTTGATCCTGATGTGTTCGGTGAGACTGCTAAGTGGATGAAACTATGAATCAGACTTCATGAGTAGCCAGATTGCTTGATTAGCTCAGCAGAGGATAAAATGAGGAGATCACAGTTATGGAAATTTACAACCCTAATTCCGTTTTGGAAGACATAACAGGCTTGATTATGTACCCGGCTGCACACGGAAAGGAACTCACTCCTCATAAGTAAAAGGAAATCGTTCATTGTATCGGTCCAAACATTCAATCATAACCAAATACATTAGTCAGCTCCGTTCTTTTTCATACCCCCCCCCCACAGTCAACCCAATATAGTGTTGACAGTTCCCTTAAATGAACATTCAATGAGTGATAGCACATAGCAGTTGTGAAACCTCAATGGAAAAACTAGAACCCACAGTCATGTCTTTCCTGAGGAGATACAACAAACAATTTACTGTACGAATTTACTATTTACTGACCAGCTGTACTGTACGCCCACTGAAGAACGATGTTGCCGTTAACTATTACATTTTCCAACAATAAACAAATGTCGAACCTTTCACGGGAACTTTTTCATCCGGGATTTGAACAGTCCTCGTTCCGCTCGCTTCCGTATTATTCACAAAGCAGGTATATTTACCAGAATCGCTGAACGGATCGAAATGGCCTATACGCTGCCAGTCCAGCTCCACCTTCACTTTTGACAAGCCATGCGGATCTTGATCTCGTCCCAACGGGGAGGTGACCAACGCTTCCTGTGTGACGGATGAAAGTTGTATATTTGAATAAAAATGAGGCCCTCTTGTAAGCGATGCTTTTGACTTTAAAGAACCAGGTTTTGCTAGACTAAAATAATGGTTGTCAAAATAGCAGTGAGGTGTTTTCTTTGGTTTGAAATGTTTTTTATCTATGAAGTTATTGGCAAACTGACTGAACAAGCACGAACTCGTATGTCTGATTCGAAACTTGCTGCCTTAAATTCACGCAGGGTGAAATTGACACACAGAGCTTATAAACACCTCCGGGTGGATTCATTGAACTTCATATGGAGAATTTGTGTTCGGAACGAGCACGACTGGTTGCTATGTCCACTGCAGGAAACACGGAGTTTGAACTATTTCAAGGGAATCCTTCAGTGGCGATCAACTAACCCGTGGTCGGGTTAGTTGATTGGTTTGCTTGCCCTTAAACAGCTCAGACAGGGAAAAATGCACAAAAACAGTTCTGCTTGAGTTGCTCGCGATAAACCTGACTCAGCGCATTCTTATCGGAGGTGAAATCCACACAACCCTAAAATGATCAGATATCACAAGCATACTCACTTTCAACTTATCCGGACCCATGGCATCCGATGCGATTTCCACGTCAGAGGGCCGACTTGGATTCAGATCATAACAGACAAGCCGTGTGGGGAATGTTGAGTTAGGATTTTCATAATAGGTCTCGAAAACAATCCGCGGATCGTCAGAAGCTAAAATGACATGACATAATGAAACAATGGAACAGGAATCATCAAAACCGAAAGGTAGGGTTAAGGAAGTCAAAACCATGTATCATGAAAATGATAAGTTAGCCACCAAGTATCCAGACTTGGAAGGAACTGTCAGAATCAGAGCTCCCTCCATGAGATTTTGTAATGTAACTCCGGCATCAGTGGTTTAACATATCACTTTCCTATTGAAGCATACCAGGGCAAAACCAGTAAGGCATACGAGAGCTGTTTCTTTCTTACCTGAGGTTACTTAGGCTGCATATGCTTGATTTCAAACGGGAGAGAGAGAGAGCAGCAGATTCCTAATGCTTTAGTCAGATTTTACACATATCCGCCGCTAACGAAGTATCAAAAGATCTCATAAAACTAGGTGTCCGCAGTCCTGTCCTCCACAGAAGCACCCACAAAATACTTACGACGTAAGTAAATTTCGAAAACATACGAAACGTAAAATTTCACAATGTTGCAAAGAAACAATTTTGTTGAGTCTGTGTTGGACTACCTGGAAGATTTCGAGGCTAAACGCAAAGTTGGCTGTACTGCGTTACGTCGTATGTGACGTTCAGGCTTGGAACGGAGTAATTTTCAAAGCATTTGGACACAGAATAAGACGATGGACAGAGCTTAGATGTTACTCAGCCCTTCATTGCCAAACAAGCACATTTCGGGGATGAAAATTCGCATGTATCAAGAGCATGTGAGGATTTTATCTAAAATCATTCTGTGGCTGAGAATGTGCTATTTGCACCTAAAGGTTGAGATGTGCCAGTTGAAGTAAACCTAGTTTCACTTACGACACCGGCGTTCTCGAAGTCCAGAAAAAATGAAGGGCAATTGGAGGAAAATTAGGCTATAGGTGTTTGCTAATACTATGGGATTTCGATCAGTTGGTCTGGGAACAAGCAAGCCTGAATTAAATGTGTTTATTTTTTAGTCACTGGTCGATTTATCGTAAAAAACTTGTCTGAAGTAGTAGGAACAATGCGCAAAGTTTGCGCTCATCAAGCAGGGATTATAGAGTCTCGAAATTCCTCATTAAACATGTGTACGTTTTATGCGTTCCCTAATGTTTTGAAGTATATTTTTAAAAAAATTAGGTGCGATCCTTCGTGTATCTAAGCAAACAAGACGGTTTTACTGGTTTATTTAAACTGAGCAGTATTTTCTGCGCGAGATAGCCTTATGATAAAGGAACTAACGTGCTAACGTGTGGTATCTCGACTGCTCCTGTTTAGTCTTGGGCAACCTGAATGTATCCCAGACATCGTGTTTCCTTCGGGTGGCATGGCAGTGTTGTGTCGTACGAGTGCAACATCTGGACGATTTGCTGTCCGGAGGACAGCGAGGGAAAGAGCTTTACAGAGNTGTCCGGAGGACAGCGAGAGAAAGAGCTTTACAGAGTCTCAGGAGTGAAGCCCTCATTTGCACAAGAGTCCCCAAGACCCTGAAAATTGATGTCATCCCAATATATTAGCGCTTAGGGAAAAGTCTAGGATAAACCTTGTGTATTTTCCCATAATGGAAACTGACTTCGGTGCTCCCAGAATGGCTGAATGGATATACACTGTCAGGAAGGAGTAGCCTATGTCATCTGTTACAGCTAAAATAATTATCTGGGTTCAGTGTAGACTTGCACACAACAAGATCAAGGCTCAACAAGATTGCCGCTGAAATGTCCAGCAAGCACTGCACGAAGACTCACAATTGTCTGCAATCCTCCGTATAGCCATGCAGCCGTTAAGACTATAATGCACATTTAGGTGCAGAAATTCCTCAGTACAACACATTTTTGCAAATGCATAGCGAACAAGTAGAAATGTGTACTGATTTACACTGGACTGGACTCTTTATACAACATCTATTCTATTCTAATAAGCTCTCCCCCAACTTGTAAATTTGCAACCAAAGATGTTTTAGCTTCTTCATAACCGTTTTGATAAAACTGCGCAACCCAAGATTATTTTATCAAAAAGATCATCTTTTAAGCGACTTACTGATATTGTACTTTATTTCTCCAAACAGTTTGCTCCAAGGAACAGGATTACACTGGAATCTGAGGTATATCCCACTCGTTAGTGGATATTCGACGCGGAAACTGCTTGGTGACAACCTCTGAACTGTAATAGGAAAGACGGAAAGAGAAGTGGAAAAATGACATAGATGTCATGAGAAGTTTAGTTTCACAAATGCTGGTAAATAATAAAGTGCTGTCTTTTTTATCAACGGATAAAAGATTTTCTAATCCATACTCCTCGCTAGGTAAGAGCGTTATCTATTGGACTGACAGCAAATTGCCCTTCATGAAAATGGGGATTGGTTCAGAGTTTCTGGATCTGCTTGGACGAACCGATGAGCGGCAAACTTCCGGAGGATCAGTTATTGTCCCAAAATGTGGTTACACTTTGCTATTCGCTAGGATATCAAAGACATGAGTAAGGAGTAATCACCATCCTTGATAGGGGCGCTCGTCGTACAAAAAACTATCTGGACAATTCAGCACAAATTCATACTCTGTTGGAAGTTTGTAAATACCAGTGCAACGGATAGGGGAAAGGTTGAGAGGCAAGCAGAATGACTTTTCTGTACAGCCAAATGCAACTTTGAATTCGCAGTAAGCTTCCTGAGGAAACGATGTAGCTTTAGGATGTGACGCATTTACCTTGCATTTGGCATCATCCATGCCTGTTGGACTTAGATGTTCTCCCTGTGTGAAGAAACGAAATCAAACATTCCAAGCAAGGAATTGTGTGGGGCCAATAAAAACACTCTACAAAGTGTCACTAGTGGGCGACGCTGACGATTTCCGTACAACAGCAAGGATTTTGACAAAGTGCTATTAAGATCACTCTCCTGATAAAGACATGCCACTCGTCGGAAAACTTCGATTTTATCTGAAATTCTTTCCAGATACCGTACATATTCGAGGAAACGACCCGAGCCCACTTAGTGTCTGACGATGAAATCGCGTCATTCATGTTGGTTGCATGAGCGTTGATACGGGACAAGGTGATTCATAAATATTCTGAAGATTGCATTATAACTAACCTTTGTGCGTGACGTCGGTCACAGTTTTCCTCTGATAATCAATCAACATCCACTTTGGTTCTTCACAGTATTCTGCTTCTGGAGTGAAACCTTGAACAACAAAGTCCCAAACTGGAGCATCCGTTGTAGTCACACCTTCGTCGGTCGGCTGTGGTAAATCAACAGCCGTTCCCGGATCTAAGTGAGTTGTCTTGCCCGGATTTAGTGGTTGCACACGGATGGTGACATTGAACCGCTTCAGTTCCTCACCATCATCATCTCTATATACCACTCCTTCATAAACGCCTTCATGTTGTTCTGCAGCGGCCCAAATCACCAAGTCATTGCCCTCCTGAATCATTCCTTCAGGAAACTGTGGAGGGATCACATCGGATGGTTCCACCTTGTCGGGAAGATCACTCAGTCGCTTCCAGTCAACTCTGATTCTGGATTTTCCGGGCTTCTTGAGAACACGAAGTGTTTCGGGCTGCATAAATGGAATTTCTACAGTCGATGGTGGTATTGTAATATCTTTGCTTTTCACTACAGCAATGATGAGGAAAAAGAGAAACAGAAAAATATTTATACCACGTTGCCAGGATCATTAATTTCATTTATTATAACAGAATAGCGAGAGTATTTTAGTATGGATAATAAGTGATCAGCACCTGAGACTATAAAACCTAATGAGCTGTGGGTTGTCTGTATATTATCGCGAATCGTTGATGACTTTTGGAGAATAAGTGACAATAATCAGAGTATCCTGATGGTGAGTGGTGGTCAATTCGTGACGGCAAATGTGCTCCACAATGCTTTTCAGGAAGTCATCAGCCACGGCACGATTAAACCCCAGACCTTGGTCTCACATTCTAGTAGGCACAGTCTCCGAATGCGAGGACTACGTCCATTTACTGAGTCCCTCGGCGGACAAAAAATCGAAAAGAACAGTAGTTGGTTTCATTCGATATCGTGACCAGAGGTGCTCATGAAAGTCTCAAACGGTGACCTGACTAGAGCAACTTATTTTTTAATACTCGGTTGAAGGTATTACTGACGAGAGGCATTGTGAAGCTCTCGAACGAGCAATGCACATCTACAATTCGATGTACCAGTAGAAAGAAATGTCGGCTGGAATTTCAGAAAAATATTTATCTGATAAGCTCCGAGCAGGACGAACTCGATAGTAGGCAGGTGGCGAGTTTTCACTGACCTTAGAAGCTGACTCGTCTTCAGAGTGGTCAAAATGTAAATGGACTACTTAGTTGACGGATTTGGGAAAGAGTTGTTAATGAACACCTTACTAGTCATCCATTTGGTTGTCTACTCTCTCTCATCAAACGTTTGGCCTTTACTAACCAGATGTGAGAACGTTACAGCCTAACACATGTGGAGGCAATCTGATTTCACAGAAAAGTTTATATTGGTCGTTATGGAAGAGGTTAGTTAACAGGTTTGCTCTGTTCGGGTAACGACAGATCTCTACTCGAGGCAAACTTGGAGAGTGTAACGAGTCTTCATTCTCAGTAAACTGATGTTCGCTGGAAGTTTTTTATGCAGGCAGGAAGACAGGAAATGTAGTGAGCAGATTTCATTCTTCTCGGTCCCGTCAACTCTTAGATGATCCGCCCGGGCTGACGGTAGATAGTAACAGCCACCCACGACTTTCAACTACGGTACCAGTGTCAGAGCTACAACACAACAATTCATATAACGACCTTATCCAAAGTACCTCCGAAAGATTAGAGAAAGAGTGATATTACTCGGTTCTCTGACCATAGATGTTCAGGTGAATTAGGGTTTTTCGGGGTTCACACGACTTTTTTTGTTACCAAAGAGCTGGTTTAGATGGTTTAAGGTGATCCTTATGTCAGTAGGGGCGTGCCGGGTAAAAATATATCCAACACAGGTATCCAGTATTTGAAAACGCGGAATTCAGTTTCGACCAACTGGCTTTAAAGCTCGGAATAGATAGTTTTAGACTGACTTATTGTCTGCATCTTGAAGTACTGTGCGAATGTTGTTTTACCAATGAAAATGCAAAATACACTGTTGTTGATTTTTACTGGACGTGTTTCTTAGCTCATGACACAAACCCAGCGTCTATGTAGATGCACACACTTGGACTAGAGTAGGAAGCATACTGAGCGAATTTTTCAAGACTAGCTGAAGGTTACAGGTAAACAGACCCTTGTGTATACCTTTGGGTCATCCGATATAAGGGTCGTCTTATGGTCTCAATAAATTTGAACAATGATGCCTATTTCTTACGGGTATCGAGAATGGATTCAGAGTGCAAAGACACTGTGGGCGCAAGGAACTTCGTTGCTTCGTGTCGTTTTATTCAATGTTGTAAGACCAGAGCACAATCATTGCTTGTGCAGATACCACGACTAGTAAGGCGGTCAACAAACTCACTGCGAAGTTCCAGAGAAACACAAGAGCATGGAAAATCGCGAAAAATAATTTTGCATGGTGAAGCTGCAAAACGCCTTTTAAAGCATGGGACTACCTCCAATACTCTGTTTAGAGTTCAAAAAAATCTTGGAAAATTAAAATGCTGCGGTCCGCCTAATTCAAAACAACGAATCTCTATCCAGACGTGAATCTGATGTCTAGATTCATGACATATTTGGGTGTGCATTCTATGGTGAAATCGACAACAAAGTTGAACGAAAAGGAGAGAGGACAACCCTGACGTATTTCACCAGTTTTGAAGATGGTTTTGGACAGTTTACTGTACACTCTAAGGAGATGAAAGATGTGAGAATTGATGGTACTAGAAATTTTTTCCAGAAATATCAAGGGTAGCCCACACATGACCAAGATTATGCAGAAGTCAGAATTCAGTCGGAGATTCGTTTGATATGCATTGCTAATAACTCCTAAAAGATACAAAACAGCTGTACATTGCTACTCGGTTTTCCGTCATAGAGTGCATTCATTTTTAGGACGGAATGTAGATCGAACGTGTTTAGAAGATCCAGTCAAGCTTTCAAACCAAAAGCGCTTTTAAAAGTCCAGGAGAGCTGTGTTTGTTGGTCGGCTGTATGCGTGACGCTGCTGAAGTACCTGCTCCAGTGTTAAGTTATTATCAGTGCAGCTCATTGAAGGCCGAAATCCTGATCAGTACTTTTGGACTTGCGTCTTACACACCACAGTTAGGTATCGTAATATAAGGGAGGTCAGCAGACCTGAGAATTATGGGCTCACGTTTGAAACAGCTGCTATGAGCATCATTTTTGAGCACGGGCTCGATCTCCGACTGGCTGCAATGCTTTTCAACATGTTTCTGTTCTCAAATGGGCACGAACAATCTGGTCAGGACAGAACACAAAGACCCTTTCCATCGTTGGACAATGCTGGGGAAAGCTCATCTGGGTTTAAGGCAGAAAAGCATGCTAATACTTCAGTAACTGATGCGGAGATATCTAAATTCACAGACCATTGCTCCAAACGAGTGGGTCGTATAGAGGAAGAAGGTCAACTAAACAGTTGTTGAAAATCTCTCTCCATGATTTGGACGCCGGTCCTTGTTGTAGGTTATACTAACACTATTATCATCGATTGACTCATATGGAAAACAACTTTAAGTTCTTAACCAACTACACTCATTGACATACCAGGTTGTTTTGCATAGGATACCCAACTGAATTTCCCGTTTGTGATGTTATTCTTGGTTCTTCAGTTGGGTCTCCCGAGAAAAGAAAATTGATATGCAAATGGCTGGGACTCAGGGACTACGCCTGATGAGCCCCGAGAAGGTTGGAACTGGTCGTTGGCTGTCAAGGAGTTTTCAGCAATCTTATGTTCAGTCTGGTACGTCTATACGACTTTGGGTTCTGTTTGCGGATCAGGTGGAACAACACCTTAACCACACGGGCCTCTTCAGCTATTGTACTTTCCGGTTCCACCACATTTCTCCGTCCACACGCGTGCTTCGTTCGTACTGTCGTCTGATTGGTTGTCTGATTAAAACCCGAAGGAATATTGTCTCGGACCATGGAGTGATAGAAACTGTTCTGAGATCCAGTGGTTTTCGTGTACGCGCTCGGAACCACAGATGTCATCTGTGATCGTAGTTACCTTATCACAGTCATGTTCAATATCCTCCTAGGAGGTCGCCTGTAGTGCACTGCTAAGTAAATTTTGACATGATTCATCAGTTTGTGGCTCGCAAGATTGTTCTGCTATCAAATGAGGGACTCATTTCCTGGGTTCGACGAGGAAAGTTTATAATAATCTACATGGTACAAGGGCTTGACCTGGTTCAACCTGTATCCCAACATGGTTGGTAGCTGATGGTCCCGTTCCATTCGATCCCAAGGTTGCTCAGTAGCAAGGGAAAGCTTGATATGGCAAATGTGCTTAGTGCATCTAAACTATTGTTTCTGGGCGAAGTTGTAAAAGACATTCACAATTCCCATTGGGTTTTTCATACAGACTAAGCATAGAACAAAAGTGTTCCTCTGATGAACAAAGGCGTTGAAATCTCATGCTATTTCTGGCTGTATCTGAACGATTTGTGGCTAACAAGAGTGTGGTAGGTTTAACTAACTAAATAAATAAGAGCCACATTTGGTGCACAAATAGTGACAACAAAGCAAAAACTTTCTGTATTTTGAACTACGAGAGAATCCATGGAAGTGGAAAGTCTACCGCTACAGGGTAGACCGATTATAGCTTTATGAACACTAGTAAAGCCCTCTGCAATGCCACTCCAAGTTTGCAGTCGATAGCGTCCAAGTTGAGAGAGTGCTGTAAACTCGACTATTGTACGCGGGCCTTGTATACACGTTTCTGGAGGTTTCTGAGGGTCAGAAAACGCCAGTCAACAACGTGCTTAGAGTACGTTCTGTCTCTGCATCAGTGCCTAGTGCCCGAAAAAAAGACTGACCGACAAGGAACACAACATCTTTATTGCTAAGACGCGAGTGCATGCAAGTACAACGAACTTGCGCCGTATTTTTAAGGGCACTATTTGACCTTGATCGAAGGCTGTATTATGCTATATTCTTAATTGCACTGTTTGACCTGAATCCAAGGCTGTTTAGAGCTATATTTTGAAGGGCACTACCTGGCCTTTATCCAAGGCTGTCGGATCGGCGTTTGGTAGAGTTTTGAGGTCTCAGTAGACTTCAAGTATTCTGGGATAATCTTCAGGACTCTGATCTTCCTGACTAGGAGTTGGTTGACTGAGCTGCCTAACAGCTCGCACACTGAGGGTTGCAATAAAGACAGGAGAACGAGGCCTGAATAGCGGTGGCGTATCGGTGGATGTGTGTAGCGGCAGACGATTAGCGACTTCCGTACATGCTTGACTGACATGCGTACAGCTGGAATCTACAGAAGAATGATTATTAAGTGGGACAGAGAGAGTTAAGAGATAACAATGAACAAAAAAGTTATCAGTAGTCACTTTCTTTCACGACCTCTTGTGTGGAGCGAAAAAAATACCCGTCGAATTTCGTTGTGTGACGGCCAATGTGGCATGAAGGAAAGCTCATGACTGTGCGTGGTTGAGGCACTGCCAAGCCCTAGACAGGAGGACAAACAGAGCCCTCAACCAGAGCCTCTGACTCAAAATTCTGACGGAACGCAGCAGTGGTTGGCCCAGGGATATCGGAGTAGCCCATATTTTAAGGAACGAATTGCCACATTTCATCCCATCTCTGACATGGGAGCCAGAAGACCATCATGCGTATATCTGTCGGTCAACATAGTATGGAAGATTGTGGTTGTTGGCTGGCCGTTCTCCAGAACCGTCGAGTGAGCAACGGTACGTAGACTGTCTCACTTTGATAATCTCCAGTCTGATCGCGACGACATGCCACCGCACTCCTAAGTCGGTGGTGTTCCGATCACAAAAGAACATGTAACGCTCTAATTACATTTGACGTAAAATATATCCTTACACAACTCACGATGGAGAGGAAATACACAGTTTCCAACAATTTCCTTGCAACGAAATCACTGTGAGCCCGAGGGGTCCCCCAGACTTACGGATCCACTAAGAATACTTCCACTTACACGGAGGATTTAAAGAGTATATGGTTCTCCTAGATTCTTGGAATCAGCAATTTCCATACACCTAACGTCTGTACCCAGTGCAACCAGATGAACATGCGGTTTTTTATCCTTCTGGCATGATAATGCCACCACCTTTCCGTAATTTATTACAACAAGGAATTCAGCACTAACACAGCCTGTGTCTCCATCGCCATAGGCAAGTTTAGTAGTGGAGGTTAGTGACTTTCTTCATGAGAGAATAATATGTGGAGGTTTTTTGCCACAGTAAGTACTGTATTGTTTAACATTAATGGATTAAGCTGAATAAAAGCTCTGCCGGACTATATAAGAGTGCTAAGATAGCGAGAGCTTTAAGCTACTTATAAAACTGCCGTGTCCATCACTGTAACCTGTTTCTAGTCTGACACATAAAGCCTTCATGTAATGAGAAGCTAACTCTAACCTCGGTCTTTAGCGGATTCGATCACATTCGGTCTTCCAATTGGTGTCCAAAATGGGTTGCTGGCTGGATTCTTCCCGACAAGGTATCCTTGAACATCTTCGGGTTGAGCTTCGAGTTGCGCATGTGGAACATGCAGTAGAAATTGAGCATCACCTGTGAAGAGATCCATTCTCTCTAGTTTTGTTACAATCTGACTGCCATTCGGACTAAGCCAAACAAGCTGATGATTTTCCAGATCAGCTGGCTGAAACAACAATGAATGGAGGGAAGTTGTGAAAGGTAATCCTAACATCATTAGAGAGATTCTATTCTTCATCAGTACACGTGTTTACAGAATCGTTGAAACCAATAGGCAGTGAACGAAGTAAAGTTAGAAATCAACCAGTTAAAGCTACCAGATGATATGTCATTTTAGAAGATACGTAGTCGCAGTGGCGCATCAGGACAGCAGGAGAAATGTGGCGAAATTGAGTGTTTTATTTGCAATAGAAACCTCGTCTTCAGCTACTTGGGTATTCGACTGTTGCGATGCGTTTTTCATTTTGAATCCTGGATGGTTTTGTTCAATTTGTTTGCACGAACATTGTGCTCTGAGTACTCTGTAATTAACTGGGAAATATCATGACGGAAAATTTAGCTCGTGTTTACCCTGATCGAATCACAGCTGCACAGGCTGTACTAGCAAGACTGATTATTCTGTTATCGGTGCTTGATACGTCAGTCTTGTACTTTCATAGACCCTCAGTGCATATATATATATATATATATATATATATATATATATATATATATACGGATCTGACACTGAGGTGCAAATATCCACTCCAAATCAATCTCTGCGATTGGATTAACTAAATTTGGCTTACATTCGTCATGTTTAATGCTCATTGGCCTTATCATATAGACTGTATTCTGTCATAAACGGAAATCTGACAGGCCTTCTTTAGTCTGGTACCTCTCATGGGCATCGAATCCAGTGGATTATTCGAAGCCTAAGGTTTACTCCATTGCGGTACCCGTGGCCTCCCACAATATTACACACTAGGACAAAATGAATGGTAGTCACACACGGCTAGCCACCCAGGTTGAGCTCGAAGAGGGTACTCAACAACTTCTGTTAATAACTTGACGTAATTATTTATGTTTCCCCATTCCTCAGACTAATTCATCACCCTTCCGATGACTGCTCAAGTTTCAAGGCTAAACTATTCTATTTTATACAAAGCTAACTCTGCATTAACTCTTTTCCCGACTCGATTTACTCACATTCATTTCTGGATTTGCTGTTGAACATTTTGTCCCACTTTGAACTGCACAAGATATTTCCCGATTAATTTGTCCGATAGCACCCTGCCTTTCCTGTACCGTCCTGTGTTGCTAACTGAGCAAGGTTCAATCTAGCCATAAGCTTTCCTTTGATTCTGCTCATTATTTGCTGTTACTTTCTTATAGAACCACGATCTACGCATCTATACTGTCTAATTCAATATATTGTTTGCTGGAAGTACTGAAAATCGCAGGTGAAGTTCGTAGAATTCGGTCTGTCGCACTTATTACTGACTCTCCGTCGTTGAATTAGACTACACGTTACTTGTCAGATAGGACACCTAGATCGTGCGTTTCGGGTAATTAACCAATTACTAGTCTTGAAACAACGGCCTTCACAGAAAATCGCACAACTTCCATGAGTGTTTTGACACAAATAGCTTACCGATGATAAATGAAGCTGCTCGTTGTTGCTTGCGGAGACACAGAAATGAAATAATGCTGTTGTTAGTTCAAGATCTCTTTTCATTACAGTGCTCAAAAAGCGGCCCCCCCTCAGAGTGATTACATTAAGGTCACCATAAGGCACACAAAACAAAATCATTGGTAATACATTACAACATTAGCTTTTGCTGAAACTATAGTACACGATACCACGGGAGTCACTTCCATTCATCAGAGTACATGAGGAACATTCCGAGTAACTGCTGAAACCTGGAAGAAAGCTCAACTTACATCTCTCATTTTTATTATGGCACGTGTAACACTGTCATCCGTGGGGTCACTTTCTAGCGTATAACTGACGGCACTTGGGACCTTCGCCCCCGGAGGAACTGAAATCCAAAATTTACTATCCAGCGGATCTTCCGCGTCCGCAATGGCCGGTGGCATCGGCTCACCTGTCATAGAAAGTGCAAGAGGGTAAAAATTGAAGGTTTTGAAGACGAGACACGTAATATTTATTACAAAACATATTCACTTGATCTCATTAAACGCTTCATTGTTATTGGTACTAAGCACTGGTGCATGGGCATAGAATGCAGAAGAGACTGGATGCAAAAATGGAACACACTGGCTGTTTTCGCAGAAGGATTCTGAATACTAGTAAAAGTAGGATGGGAGAAATAGCAAAACGAAACGCACATATGACAGACTGAAATGAGTCATAAAATGGAGTGGTTTTTGCAAACGTTGAAGATGCAGGACTGTCCGTTCCATGGTTTATATTGCTGAAGGGCGAGTCTCCTTCACTTTGCCTACGCAGTCGATCTGCTGGTTTCCAGCTCTGAAAATATTGGGTGTGCTTTTCAATTGTTCCATTTACTGTCATTTTACATGGATACTTGTACTGCTTCGGTCATTTTGGAGGACAGTTAGCTAACCTTCATTCAGTCTACTTTAGTATGCACCCATGATTCCCTCTGTCATTCAGGATCGGACAACTAGCACTTATCTTGGGAGTTATAACAGTTGCATTAGCTCTCTTGTTGTGACCAGTGATAGGAAAATTCGTGGCTGATTTGGAGGGGAGCTAACACCTACTACCCCAATTTAGAGGTGAGGGCAAGAATTCTTGTGGGACTTCTCTCCATTAGGCTATTACCGTATCATACATACAACCTGTATCTCGTTCCTGACTTGTGCGTATTGAACGCTCGTTCGGTGAAGTTTAGACTGAATGTTCATATCTTGTTCTCATCATTGTTCACTGATTCAGTTAACATGTCAGTTCACTAGTCAGTCTGCTCTATAACAGACAACTAATTCAAACACTCAAGAAACGAGAAACAATGGTTCAACAATCCGATGAGGAGTCAATTTATTACATTTTCTTCTCATAAAGAAAAAGTCTCGCCGACATGACGTTCACTTTTCAAGGTGATAATTAAGTGAAGATATAGGCTCCATATTAGGTGCTTGATCGGTTCAAATTCCGTTTTAGGTAGATGTACGTAGCACCTCCCGTGCTATATCATTGACGAATTCTTCTACAGTGATTAGCGAATACCTCAGCTCACGAATATCTTTGAAAGTTTGTAATCATGACGCACTAGTGTGGTGGTCTTGAAGCGCTTGAAGTATTCCTCGACAGATCGTCTTCAATCCAGGTTTGCTGGTCTGAAGAATACCACGAACAGTGAATGAAAAATGAGCTCATTATTATCTGTATTTCACTCTTTATTTGCAAGTGTATCCCGGAAGAAGAGCGAACACCATCAAAGTAGTGTAGAGTGGGGACAAAAGTAAGTCTACTTTCGTGCGCCACATAGGATTCGGTGGACAAAAACCAAGACTGAAGTGATTTAATATTGAGGGTCCAATGTGAGGTTTTGTGCTACTTTCATTTCTTCTAAGTTAACAGCTGTTCTTGCAGACTGGTAATCGATCTGTTCGGTCAAACTATATCCGGTGTCCGTCCCTCAAATTTACACCAGTCCGGCTGAGCAGTACTTCTGCTGTGCTACTGCTGAGTGTCTTTACCGCTGAGTCGTATTACTAGAAATTCCAAAGCACGCAATCGTCTTTGTCCTACTCTGGGACAGGAAGCACATGGTGACAACGCTGAATGACTATAATCCAGGTTAACTTGTTCATCTTCATACTAGCTAACGGGATTTCAACACATATCCGATACTGTCATCGTAAGGCACCCTTAGTGGCACGCTGAAAGTGTGGAACTCCGCTTTGTACAATGCATGAAGCAATAGGGCAATTGAAGTAGACTGAATTCTGTCCCCTCACAGAAGCTGAGAGTGGTTAGAATGTTTTATTTTGAAACCGACTGATTCTTTCTTACAACTCGGAAAAATTTGGCACCATCCTGGCACAGGATCACTGGCTTGTGGTTTTAGAATCTGCCCTCTAGTAAAGACCGTGTAAGACCAGTGCGACTGGTCCGAATTGGATAAATGAAAGCAGTCAATTGATCACGGTGCAGTGGAATATTCCACATCTACGCTTCTGTATTTTCCTCGATACGATTTTTGGCCAACCAGTTCCGGGAAGTCGTTCATTTGGATTTGAAAAATAAATTTGTCTTGACCGGAGAGAAATCCGCTCAAAGCTTGATTAAGCAAACTGACTCATTTTTGTTCTTTTTGCAGATATGAATGTAAATTGTTAAATTATTGTCGAAGTATGTCTTGAAATTTCGATGAACTACTAACTTTGAAGGCATAATGCAGCCTGATGTCTTTTGATCATATCCATGTAGCAGTAAGTTTTGAATAATTGTTTTCAATAACACTAAGAATTTTATCATCTTCCTGGGAAAGCTGCAACAACAGACTCCATTTTGAACAAAACTTAGCAGGACTACACGACTTTTTATACATTTGAGAGGTTTTAATGCGGCTCAAATGCGTCTGTCTAAATTGTAAGCGCCGGAGATTCACAGTGCACTTTCAAAGAACATGCGATTGAGGAAACGAGTAGATTTATTTGTTTTTATTTGATGGTGCAGTAGTTGAAACAACGCCTGTTTTCTGTCATTTTCTCCTAATTTAAAATATGAGTTTCAATTATTTTTGAGATATGCGCAGAAGTCTGACTTCTCCATTCTTGATGTGCTAGTGCGAACCCAGTTGCTACTGAAATGACTTGCGAAGTATTCGGTGTCGAATACCAAAAAGGAGGCTGTAATCTTTCGGGTCAAAGTGTCCCTTACAAGTTATCATCTTTACGTCTGATGGTAATCGGTTCACGATCAAGGGACTGTTGTGTTGAAAATTTTAGCTATTCCCGGTGAACCTCAGTTAATAAATCACCTCTCCGATGAGAGGGGAGTAGGTTATTCGAGTTCATCTTCAGTTACATCCTTTAACGGGGGAACCTGTGTTTCGCATTAGTGACACACTACTAGTAGTTTTATCCGAGCATTGTTTTTGTGTGAGTGATTCCTAGGAATAAAGCGCAGATGAGTACTGTATTGGCCGATCAACGACAAGGTATATTCGAATGTTTATCAGCTCAACTACTGAATACAAGAATAGTAATTGCGAAGAACCGTCTCCAATTTCCCAATTTATCATCGTCACGGGAATTCTGTCGATTTTCATTATCTAACAGGAATAGCCTGAGACGAAGCTCCCAGTGGACTAAGAGGACTGAATCGTCGCTGGCTCGTGTTCTATTCCACTCAAAAGTACTCTCTATCTCTTGAAGAGCTTCAGGTAGCCACCTCTACTGGATACTATTTATTAGTCGACCTACTACCAGGAGAGAATAAATTCTGCCCATTTAAGTCTCCTATGGAGGGATACTCTATGGTGGTAACCGAAGTGGTCCGTATACATTTTTGATTGGCCCGCTTATTTCACCATATTGCGTATTAGATAGGGCACAACCAATAAAAAAGAGAGCATTCACCAAATGAACAACAGGCCGAAAACTCAAGTAGGTTTTTAGCTGGCAAGTCACTCATCTAAACTTCGATTTTTGGAAGCTGCATTTAAGAAATGTTGAATCAGTTAAAAACGAGATAATTTACTTTCCATCATGCAAGGTAGACAAAAAATTTCATTTACTTCATGGTGTACATTTTATGCTATAACAGAACCTGTGTTATAATCCACTAACTAATCTAAATCTATGATAATCTCCAACGTATTTTTAAACTTTTGGATCGATGCACGCTTTCTATCATAACCTGTGACAAAGAAGAAAACTTATGGGTAAGCTGCACACACCTGGTTCACGAACAATGAGATAGGTTGGCAGTTCCGCCATTGTACCGATCACGGTGGCTCTACACATATACTCTCCTTCGTCCTGCTTGTTTGCACTTTCTATTTCGAATGTTGCTTTGGAACGATGTAATTCCGCATCGGATGCCATTGCTCTTGTTGCTAGAGAAGGGGTATGGATGATACGCCTACGTGAATCATTTGCTGTCCGAGTAGATGAAACCGGCGGTATCCATTCATGCACCCCGATTCCGCCACGATAAGACGTGGACTCGCAGACCAGACGAACAGGATCGCCTTCTTTCACAACAATCACTCTTTGTTTGGTATCGATCGTCAGACCTGGGAACGGAAAAGAAACAGTGAATGCCGATCAGCAGTGAACGTCAGTTGTGCATATCTATACAATTGAACTAGTAGGAACTGACGACGCTTTCGGTGTCGTGTGGATTATGTGAAGAAATCAAAATTTCAATCGGTAGATTTGCTTGCCAAGATGTGTACATGTGTGACCGTTCTGTATGCACTCAGTGTGGGTTCCTTCTAAACGGGTTTCTGCGAGTGCTATGTTTCCATACTTTATTACACTCTTGTAACATTTCAATCACAAATTTTTGATGTGCAGACTATACTTTTTGGGTAGACGAAAATGTTTGCATTCAGAGGGTTCTTCGTAAATACTCCACTACTCATTGGAACAAATGACACCATCCATTCTAAAATATTTGCTTTAGTCAATTCTTCTATCCATTTCATCGAGCGCACTCCCGTAACCTGTAGATAACTTTTTCATTTTGTATTATAAGAGAGTTAGGCAGGGCGAACGACTGACTGACTTTCATTCTACAAGAAGGACTTCTCTCGAGTGAAGCAACACTCGGATCACAAAGCACGTCGGGCTTTATTCATTTCGTACACACCAAGCTACCTTCAACTATAACAACCAAGTCTTTTATAGAATGGCCCCAGAATACAGTACATTCATGTGTATTTAAACCTGATAATGGTCCTAATATGTCGACTTGTTGAGTGTCAGTCGGGGCGAACTCATCATCAGCTGAGTTGGGTGAAAACCAGCGACAGGTTCCACTGAATATGCGAGTCATATCCGAAGGAAACCAATAAACTGAACTGAAGTGAACTGACAGTGCCTGAACAAGAACAACAGGAAAGCGAAAGCACCATATGCAACATAAACAATACAGCTAACCCCAAACACACTAACTATCTGGAGAAAACTGCATTCACCCAGAAGACAAAGTGTGGCTTTAACCGGAGCTTTGTTTCATGCTTCAAGCACATTCATGTTTCAGTAACGCAACAACTTTTTGATTTGCCAGTCACTTCCACTGGAGTTTTTTATCAGTCAACTGCACCGACTTTGTTGGAAGTTTTGAACCGTCTCGGCTAAGTGTAAACGAACGTGGCACCGGTTTCTTTCTGTTTGCATAACCTACTAAATATAAAAGAGATCCATGCGGACAACCAGAAGACAGTATGTACCAAATTCAGATGAATGGTAAGGTATATTGATTAGTACAATTTCAGCTGTGAAAAGTTTAGGCTAAGATATTTCCTCCGCATATAAATGAGGTAGTTCAACGTTGTTTTCAAGAGTAAACAATAGAATCATAGAGAACGTGGGGAGAAAAGTGAAAACTCACCAAGCTGACATGAATCGAATCTTTCGCCTGTGTAAACGTTATACTTGAATTGACCTGACGGACACCTGTATACAAAATACACATCATAGTTTGAAGTCCAAATTTAAAAAGTATATTGTCCCAAAAAACAAGTGGTAACTTATCAGGACGACATCCGGTTGAAAAAGATTGTCAACAATTGATTCTACGCTTATGCCGCTCGAAGAATTCACATTAGCATACCGAGTGAAATACCTTTTGCCCTTGAAGTATTATTACCTAGCCAGAAGTCCTCAGGATTCCCTCAGAGTAGGATAAGTCGAGTATTCCCAAAGAGTTCACTGCAGCGCTCACTTATGTGTATGACCAGATGAACCTCAGGCTTGTGATAAGGCTGGATCAAACTCATCGTCGTCATGCTTGGCGCCATTGTTTTTGGGGCCGTGAAATGATCACCACCTTTTAGTCCCTATTTATTGCGCACAAAAATATATGTATTGAGGACACGCTTTTCCCTCAGGTAGTAAACGAAGTAATTTCAGATTTCACAGAGAAATTTACCTACAATAATTTTTACGGACGGGAAATAGTCTTGTTGGTACTAAGATGGTTAGCGTATTTATCTTATCAAAAAATCAAGCTATTTGTAAAACGTTTGCGTCCGTGTGTAGTTCGCATATATTTTGCAGCTTACAGGTAAAGCGGACAGTTGCATTAATGCAAGCGAATAGTCATCACCTTCACCTGCTGATGATCGACACAAACAAGACAAGTTACTGGGTCGTCCTTCGGGGCGTCGGGTTCACCTTTTAAATCACACAAGCGCGAATGTGTTCAACAGTTCAGACGTGAAAATTCAGACGCGTCCAGTGGAGTAGTGGTGACAATCTCCTAGAATGTCATATGTGCAAAGTGTAAACCCCTGCACAGGCTGATGAGCTCTAAAAACAGCGAAAATCGAGTCCAGTGCTTCCCACTTTAGTGTGGGCTCACCAGAATGATTGCGCCAGGACAGAAAAAACGACCGTTCAAACGAGAGTGGTATGAGCATGTACCATTGTTAACCCTAAGACGAGGCAGTGCTATTTCCCAGGTTCACTTTATACTGCTTGGCTTAGCAGAGCGACACCGGTACCTCGTAATTCCAGGAGTGTTTCTTTTCAGCAGCGGTTGAGAGACAGTCGGAAAGTCCAGGCCATTGTTATAAGCCATTGTGGTGAAAACTAACCAACTGTAATTATTTTCTAATGCATAGGTCGCTGACAGTAAAGTACAAGGTTGTAAATGTGGTTACATTCATGGGGAAGTAGTTCATAACGGGGTTTTATAAACTAAGCGGTTTTACGTTTGCCAGCACTGAACTGTAGGTGGTGTTATTCCCCATGTCCACCTTCCAGATGCTGTCACTCCCTCAGGTTATTCAAGACCCTAGTTGTTCCACTTTTTGACGCATTATCTCTTCACGCACTCGTAGTCTTTGTTTATTCATTTCTCTGTGTATTCCGTTGAAAAAACCTGACCTTTGTTCACCTAAACGTTGAACGGTATCATTTTAGACTTGCAGTAAGATCATGTAAGTATTATGAGGCGAAATGTATGGCCTGTTTACGCCGCCTTTTACGACGATTCTTCAGGAAACAGCCGATATTATTATGCTAGGTAACAACGGTTAAATTTAGATTGCATTGATTTGATTTCTTAGGTATCTTCCCAAGTGATTCTTCTGAGTTATTTTCGAAGATACTTAGGTTGATACTGGAAAAGATTGATGGATTGGATTACTAAATACATGCAAAAAGCACACTCAAATCGTGACCCCTGTAAGTCATACAGTTACTAGTTTTCGCACCATCGCAACTTACGCGTCAAATTTAGATCCAAGCATAGTACTGCAAACGAAATCTGGCCCGTACGGGTTCATCCTAATCACCGTATGCAAACTTGTATCTTTGCAGCCCTGCAAATTGAATGAAGAACAGTGTTAAGTAAAAATATTTTGAACTTGGGGGACAAAATACTACGGGGTTTTCGGCCAGATTTCGGAACAAATTTTCCCTGAAACCATTAGACCGGTAAATCAAACTAACCAATAGTACTCTTCAGGAGGTAGAGACCAAATGAAGAGCTAACTATCACGAGCGCCAGGGTGTTTATTCATGAATTACCTCGCAACTTGGAGACAATTGACGTTCATCTGGCGAAGAAGGCATTGGACAGTCGCAAACCTCTACGGGCGCTTGCGGGAGAGTATTGGGATCAACGCCGCCCGGCGCTGGACGTCGGTTCACTGACTGAGCGAGTTGAATAGATAGGCCAGATATTTTCATTCCAGCGAGACCCTTACTTAGACCGCTGCTTGTAACTATAGAGATAGATGATGTGGTTGCCAGCACACGAAGCAACTGCGCTCTGGTTAGCCCTTGAAACTGACCATGTCCTTCAATAGGAGTGCCCAATTTCCAGCCTCCAGGCCACCAGTTTTCGTCAAATTGAACCTCGTACGTCTGAAGGGCTTTGTTATATACAGCCTGAGTCCAAACGCGTCCATATCGCTCAGACTAGAGTAGAAATGGAAAATGTGAACGTTGGAGTTAGATGCTCATGGATGACCACGGTAGTCGGAATGCCCTGTGTACAAATCTTTTACCAATTTCTGAATTTTTATGTTCGCCTGATCCCGCGTCTTCTCCGTAATGAAAACAGACCTGTTAATTACTCAGTAGAAGTATGGGACACGAGTATCTGTTCAGCGCTGAATGCAGTCCTGTGAACTGGGAAATAAGGTACCTGCCGCTGCGATCCGAACACCTAAGAATCTCGTCCGGAAAACGTCTCATTGCTGTAACATGTAGTATTAAGTACAGTCCTGTGAACTGGGAAATAAGGTACCTATCGCTGCGATCCGAACATCTAAGAATCTCGTCCGGAAAATGTCTCATTGCTGTAACATGCAGTATTAAGTGTCCGGCAACTCTGCGCAACCTCTTTCTCATGCCAGTGAACTCCGACAGAAGGTAGTCCTGGTAAAATTTTCAACTGCAGTGAACTTTGATATAGGTGCATCGTTTCTGTTGCTCACTAGGTTTAAGTTGTTCGAAAAGAGGATCACTACGTCTAACCACTTCCACTCATCCACGCTAGACAGAGTATCCCTCACGGTATCAAGAGCTCAAATGTTCGGAAACGACCAGTGATTGGGCAGGCTGATGTTGATCTGCTTGCCTGCCTCTGGCAACTGGCTGTCACCACTTGGGCAGACCATCAGTGGGGGCTTCGATGGTGATGCTTCCCCGATTGGTGACGAAACGTTTTCAAACTGCTTACCAAGCTCGGCGAACAGATCAACAGCCATTTAATCGAAAGCATCCGACCAACAAATATTCCAATGGGCAATGAACGAACTCATCACTTATCACTTCTCCGAATTCCGGTTTGTTTGTTTGTAGGCTGTCTAATACATTGAATAGTCCAGGCGCGCATAATTCTTCCCAAACGGCAAAGGATTTCCATACATGAAAAGAAACCTATCGGTATTATCACTCAGTCGCTAATTTTTTTCAGTGACGATAATAAAAGTACCAGGTGTCATCGAATTTAATTTGATCAAACTCACTACCCGAATCGCATTTTTGAATACTCATGGATCACCTTGTTTTGCATGTTCCGGTGTCCTTGTTGTTTTTAGTCCTATTAGCGACTTGTTTATTACGTTTACCGTGTTTTGAAAGAAAATTTCAACAGGTTTGATGTCCAACAATTTATGACACACGAAAAACTTGCGGTGTCAGTACATCATTTTGATGGTGAAAGTTCAAGGATCAACAACTCACCTCAAGCTCGACCACCACTCTGGCTTCCTCCGCTTTCAATTTACTTAAGTCGAAGTTGACTGCATCCAATCGGAAAAACATTTGTCCACCATACAAATAGCGCTGAAAAAACGCAAGAAATGAAAAACTTTTGTTCATTAGGACGCAGGGGTAGAGGACGTATTACGAGATCGCGTAGGAAATTTCACTTCAAACAGCGTTAACTGACGAACAAAAGTGCAAATGAATGTCAAAATTAATTGGATGATGGTTCGTTCAGTCTGTTCAGTTCCACCCGATTTCGCCCACTGGGATTTTATTTATATCTTATACGTCAGTGAACTAAATGCTATCTTCATCAAGCAGCAAACCATTCAAAACAAGGCCTCGTGAATTCAGGGTTTCTGATTCGCCAGAAAATTTTAAATCACGCAACTGTACACCCAACCTCAAGCTGTACATTTAGAAGTTTATTGGTCTGTGTCTCCAGACTAGATATGCAAAAGATTCCAAGTCAGCTTTCTTATATCCAGGACTTTGTTCTTTCATTCCATATCTATTCCTACTTTTCTTGGCCCTGTTCAGTGGCTATATGTTTCTTGCCCTAACACTTTCTCTAAAGTACATAGCTCCGTAAATTCTAGCAGATTTGGTCAGATAAATGTATTCTGTACAAGAATAAAAATCGCCTTTTCCTGTTCTCGCAGCCAGGACAAAGCTGCGTACCCCCAATCAGTGTACCGAGGAGAATCAGTCTCCAAAGCTTTATTAACCCATGCTACGCAGAAACCGAAATAATTCCTGACCCAACCTTTTTTTGCCTACCTGGAGAAGAATAAGCTGGCTCCAGTAAAGTGCAGCTGTGATGCATGGAGTGACCAGCACCCGTTTCCAAAAGTGAATTTAGCCTATCAAGCCCTGATCATAGTCTGGAAACGAGATAGTTTCAATTCTTACCTGGCGGACGCAGTTTCTACAAGCATTCCTTAATTATCCATCAGCAGAAACTCAGTTATTTCTGGCGAATCGTTTGACACCTAATGCTTATAGAAGAGAATAGTAGCCTGTTGTTCCGGTACTAAGTGTCGGGATAAATTAATGCTGGAGATTGACCGAATGTAAGCCAGCTGGCGTTTGCTACTCCGTACTACAGTTGACCTAAATTGGACGAGGAATTTTCGCATCTGTTTTCGTTATATGTTTAGGTTATGACATGTAAAACTCCAAATTGGCGAGCATACAGTGGGTACTGTAGACAGTGTAAACTCTAGTTTGCCAGTATCCTAGTCCGGTTTTGTGAGGGCGACCTGCAGTAAAAAGGACTCTGTACACTGTTCGTCCAACATGCTTGTTTCATTTTGTGTTCAGTTATGTTCTGTGAGGATAGTCTGAGCACGCATTCTGATAAGGTGTTGAACTGAGAAGTCCAAGTAGATGTAGAATGAAAATAAGAATACCTCTGGGGACGGAAGCGAACCCCTGACCTCCTGCTCTTAGGAAAGGTGCTCTGGTAGGTATGCTTAATCTTCATCATACTTATGTACCTGAACTTTTAAATTGACGCGCCACCGCCAAAATAAAATGATGTCTGTCAGTACCATCGATGAATCACTTGTGTTTCTTCCACCATGGTCAGGACTTTGATATCCTACCGATGTCCAAAGGGTATTGGCCTGAATTGAAAACTGAAGGTCGGCGGTTCGGGTCAGTCATCAGGAGCGTCTTTTCGCTCATGCGAAGTATACATGGACTTCACGTTTCAAAGTTTGACAAATTACATTCTACTTTCTGACACTGATGGCGATTCCCATGTTCGTGCGACCACTAATATCCTTGAAAGTTGTAATGAGGCCTACCCACTGGTGACTTTCATAAACTGAAAACTGGTCCAGGTGTTTCAACCCATCTGTGGATGTCTCGCAGCGACACCATTTTCCTCCATACCCGATGTTGACCGTTAACGTGGCTGTATGGCAGCAACAAACAAAAGTGGTGCCAAACTAAAAGTGCAACCCAGAAAACTGGTCCAGGTGTTTCAACCCATCTGAGAATGTCTCGCAGCGACACCATTTTTTCTCCATACCCGATGTTGACCGTTAACGGGGCTGTATGGCAGCAACAAATAAAAGTGGTGCCACTCTAAAAGTGCAACCCACTTGGTCGCTCCGATGTAGTTGGCCGAGGGCAAAAGAATACCTCTGGGGACGGAAGCGAACCCCTGACCTCCTGCTCTTAGGAAAGGTGCTCTGGTAGGTATGCTTAATCTTCATCATACTTATGTACCTGAACTTTTAAATTGACGCGCCACCGCCAAAATAAAATGATGTCTGTCAGTACCATCGATGAATCACTTGTGTTTCTTCCACCATGGTCAGGACTTTGATATCCTACCGATGTCCAAAGGGTATTGGCCTGAATTGAAAACTGAAGGTCGGCGGTTCGGGTCAGTCATCAGGAGCGTCTTTTCGCTCATGCGAAGTATACATGGACTTCACGTTTCAAAGTTTGACAAATTACATTCTACTTTCTGACACTGATGGCGATTCCCATGTTCGTGCGACCACTAATATCCTTGAAAGTTGTAATGAGGCCTACCCACTGGTGACTTTCATAAACTGAAAACTGGTCCAGGTGTTTCAACCCATCTGAGAATGTCTCGCAGCGACACCATTTTTTCTCCATACCCGATGTTGACCGTTAACGGGGCTGTATGGCAGCAACAAATAAAAGTGGTGCCACTCTAAAAGTGCAACCCACTTGGTCGCTCCGATGTAGTTGGCTCGATGGCAAACTAATGTTACAGAAACCCAAACGTGATGAAGATACTTTGGACGTCCGAAACAATATTTGACTGCTAAATTTATCCGATTTATTGAAGTAAATATGATGGAAAGAGAAAACTCAAGGGAACGAGCTGTTCGTTAAGTCATGCGGAATTCAGCCCAGTTGACTGTGGAAAATTTAAATACTGTGAAAACGGGGACGAGCAGATTTATCGAACTAAACCTGTATTCCTATTATCGGACCGAAAAGTTTGCTTGATCAACGAAAATCGATCTCTTGGCATCCTTATGCGAGGCATCTTCGCACCGGAATTATCATTCAACGGAAAATGAATACAGTGGTGCTCCTCTTAAAGTCAACCTGCACATTATTGTCCGGCATCATTAACCCATTTTCCAAAGCTGCGAGGAATATACTAGTGATATACTGCAGCATTGTGTGAGATGTAGTCATCAGCAAGCACTCTGAATGGGTCCAACTGAGTGTTTACGCCGGTGGCATGTTTTCCAATCCATGGCTAATTCGGAGACGTCATTTTCGGTTGGGTTTGAATATTCGTCACTCAAGCGTATCCACTAAGAAAACTGCAATTTACTTAGGATTAAACCTAAGCCCAAACAAGTCCAGAGGCTAAGCTACAAGCTATGTGCACGTGCAAATAACTCGTGCTATCTGAGTGATCCGCCCTATCGGCTGATCGATATATACATGCGCCTCTGCAGGAGAGACGTAAGACATATGCCGGGGGGCGCTGAACAAACTGCAGTCAGACTTTGCAAAATCAGTCAGTCAGCCCGAAGCTGGCTTGAGTGAGTTCCGTAGCCTGTGCCCCAATCCCAAATCAGGAACAACATGACATAATGATGAAGCCACCTTGCCACCTTGCGAAATTTGTAGTGCATGTGTGAAACAAGATTTCCCACAAAGTCATGACAACGCAAGTACCAAAATTTGGACAGAACAAAGTCACATCGCAATTGCGTAGTGGGTTAGCGTTGTATCGTATTCTGGTTATGTCTCTGTGTTTGGACCATACACGAATTAGTTGCTAAACAAGATGCAACACTAATCTGCTATGTAACGATCGGTCGCAGGACGTTTGCAACCAAAAGGCACAGCTTAACAAAAAGAACACAGCCATCTGCATAGTCTGAGTTCCAAATATTTCTGACATTCCTCAACGTTCCCCACTTTTGTCGGGGAATTTCAGGGTGGTATCTAGTCCCATAAGTGATAAGTAAGAAAGAGAAATGAAATGTTAGCATGAACTCACATATATTGGAATATCGTTGATAGTGGGGGAATCCGCTGGTGGTGGTTTGATCTGTACAGCCAAATGAATTATGCCTCTTTCTAGAACAGGGTTCCGCACGATCAGTTCGGTTGGCGTACGCTCCAGTCTGGGTTGCCCCATCACCTCGTCCTCGACACGTTCCAGGCACCATGAATANCGCCAGCCAGAAGTCGAAAGTCATTCCTGCTGGGTCCTCCTGCAAGTATAAAAATTCGTGGACATTCTTGGTCTATGATAGTCCCTGTTTGATTGTGGAAGGGAATTTTATACGAAGTCCTTCAAGGCGTTTTGTCTGTGGTGAGCTTGGGATAACTATGTGGTTAAAACACGAACCAGAAGGTCCGTGGTTCGAACTCAACCCAGGCATCACGACCGTTCCTGTCTAGGGTTTGGTAACCTGGCTCCGTGCTGCCTCCGGGTAGCGTGGCAACTGGGCATCGAAAGGGTGTTATAGCTGAACGATAGTTGTCAGCGATTAACGAGCTTGATTTCCTTGCCCTTCGTTTGAAACATGTTGCCTGTTTTTGTATTGGCTTTATCATATGCATGCAAATTCCACGAAACTGCTTCAACTCACCATTGTTATGTTCCAGAAGACATGTTCATTTGACAACCGGCACGATGGACTCTGACCAGCACAATAGCATTCAAGGCAAGTATTTTTGTACTTGATGAATCCTGGTTTACATTGGTCGCACCGTGGACCATCATAATTTTCCTGGGAGAGTTCAAACGAACGATAAACATTAAGCATTACAGAAGGTCGGACGCACGGTAGATATATAGAAATGGGTCAGTGAGGGCCAGACATTCAAATTATGGTAGTCTGTGTTACTCGTATGTGATGTTACCTAACGATTGACCTTAGTTTATTATACCATTACAGGCAGACAGGACGTTAAAATCTTGTGCTGTATATGTTCCCTCTTATCCGGCACAACCCGATCAGTTCCAAAACCACTATTGTTACTCGGAATTCTTTAGCAGCTGGATCCATTCCGCAGCTGTTTTCGTAGGCTTATTGTATGCATTCGTGCTATTTAATTGATTTTATTGCACAGGAGTGTTGAAAACCGCTTCCGATCCGGAGGTTTTGTGATTTCCGGAATAGATGCTCGTTTTGGAGCTATACCCTTTTTTGAGATTCTTCTCAGAGGACGGTCTCCTAGAGAGCTTCAAAACCTTCAGCCTTTCCAAGCATTAGCGTTGCAGGATGTTTGCAAGTGCAGCTGGTGAGAATGAGTTTAAGAAATACGGCCCTGATTACGTCATATTGGATTCATTTATTGCCCGGTATATGATGCCTTCCTATTGATGGTCAGACACTCAGGCTTTCGTCAACCGTCTCACTAGTTCCGTCATTAGACGAAAAGTTTTGTAGATAACCTTCATCCAGCAGTCATAGTCATATATGTATCAAACGGTGCTTTAACGAAATGTCATGTGGTTCTACCCTGTCAAATCGAATATTTCCGCGGCGCCATATTTGTATTCACCTGTCGCGGATTGACCAGTGGATAGTGAGATGGCAAGGAATAGCTCTCGTTACACCGATAAATTTCTGATGCTTTTATTCATTTCGACGCTCCAATTTTTTGAGGACAGCAAAGTGACGTCCTTGGTGTGGATCTGAAACATGTGATCCACGTTTGAGTTCAAATAAAAGAATTGATGGTAATTTTATACAAAAAATGAACGCTCACTCACCTTACACACACAATCCCCATTGTCTAAAACAGACTGAGTCCCTTCTGTATTGCATTCCAGTCGCTCCGGTTGTTCTTCACACTTTGCCTCTGGAGGAGGTGGGATTCCCTGTTCTTCAGCCAAAGCGCATTGGTCACAATCCGGGTCAACCAGTTTGCCATCTTCGCGAACTTCGCATTTGCAGAGATAGTGTTGCTCTGGAAGTGTACTCCCAGCGCATTCTTTCACAACGCTGACGTGAAAATGCAACGGGCATTGAGGAATGGTAAAAATACTAGACAAGTTTTGAAATCCTACAAAAGTCGATTAAGCAGTGAATGAACGCCAGGTTTTTAGGAATACTAAATGACGCTTTGTGATGGAAATACGGAAGTCGTTGTGAATGACAGAATTACAAAATACCTGGGGTAGGATGTGCTGAATAATGCTTCGCCTTCCAACCAGTAATAAAACATCACCATTGTTTTAAAAGGCCAACAATGCTGGTCTTTCAGGACTGGGAAGGTATGTACTCCGGCGAATATACGGTGCGACAACAACCACGTGAAAGAAAAGGGGGCAAAAATCCCAACCCGATCAGGTTCACAGAATCCCTCCCCCTTACACAACTATAATAGCACTACTCATCCACACAAACGGACAAAATGTGTAAGCGACTTTTAAGAGAAATTTTCACGTGGATCAACCTGGAAGAACTGGACTATAAGTTGAACGTAAATCCATGTTGGTTCCCCATCATTTTTAACACTTGTTGATCCAACCTAACAAACAAAATCCCTTAGCAGTCACCTAACACAGATGTAACTTGACGTACCTGATTGACTGCCGTTTCGGCTTAAATCTTGACAAACTTCGTAATCTAGTCGCTTGGCCTGACGACGCCTTTGTGTCAAAAGCGAAATGTTGAAGAGCAATAAATCTACCGATTTTTTCCCGAACCATTTCGAAAAAGCGTAGCTAGTCCTGCACACAGTGACGTGATACGTGTGTGGTCACACTAATGGAATATGCCTACAAAGAGTCCTAGGGACTGAACCTAACGCTCATAGAGGTTCGCGGTCCACTGACTAGAGTTCTACGCGTCCGCTATGCTATGGTATGTGTGGGTACAACTAAAACGGCCTGATCACTACGTTAGATTGACTAAATGAAGGAATGATGGGTAGATGGCTGAACTGTGGGGCAGAGCTTCCGCAGAATTTATCGGTACATGTGTAAAAACAATAACGTTTGGTGTCAACTGACGAAAAATATCGCACACTCATGCATACTGATTTTTCACCGAGTATGCAGTGATTTTTATGGTGTTTCTCGTCCTATAAGTAAGCAACATCGAATTTTGGGGACTGCATGATTATATAAATAAAACTGTTTAAAATACTTTCAGTCCTCTGCTTGTTCTTGGCTGAAAAGATGCTAATAGAGTTCCGCAAACTATGCCTCAGTGACCTTGTGAGTAGTGTGCTTTGATATTTTCAACATCGTGACAACTGAAGTAAGTGGTGGCCCTTCTGTAGCACATTCAGTTTGGGAATATCATCAACTAGAAATTGAAGCGAATCTGTCTTTAAAACGAAGTTCGTTTGCGAATGAGTGCATTTCATTGATTGCGAACAACGTTGTGTTCAATTAGAACATTAGTTTGGTGGATACTCTGGAACAGTGCCCGCCTGTGAGCCACGAGACCGGCAAATTCGGTCGTGGGCCGTGAAATACTTTCAACTACATTACAAGCGGCATGCTATATCAAAGAAATGTATCCTAGGTTCTTGTCGTTGTCATTAGAACAAGCCGTGAAGAAACCCCGGAAGAGCTACTCTTAGACGATGGACTTCGTCCTCTGTAAAGCCTTTTAGAGGAAATTTGACCACAAAACCATATAATACACTATTTGGGCAACAATAGAATAACTCTAGGGTAACGTTTCGTGCACTGAAACCAGATTTCGTGACTCCGGAGAGCATTTTTCAACTCCCTATTTGGAAGGGAATTTAGCGGATCAAATGTCGTGGTAAAAAACTCTCACTGCTTCTGCTACCACGCTATTTCCCGAAATTAGTGGATGTTTCTTGAATGTGCGTGGCCCAGTCAATACTGGCCTTGGGTTATGTGCGCCGTAACACTTAGCGAAACATATCTCACATGCGGATTGTAGGTAATGAAGCCGAATTGTAGGATGTAAAACAACCCGTTTCTAGATATGTACCGAGATCTCAAAATTGCCACGGCTTTGTCAAACGACTATACACCGTTGAGATTCAACTGTCCTCTGGTTATCTGTAGACTCTCAAAGTTGCATAGATCCATCCATGCTGTTGCCGTTTTTAGCACTTTTCAGCGGCGTAATTCCGAGAGCATAAACACCTTCAAAATGAAACGGTTTAATTATGTGTCGAAAGATGTGCGGAAAATGGCGGAAGATTGATAGATAGATATAGCAAACACTTCCGGGGGACAACAATCGCCTCTGACGAAAGTTTGTTATCACCAGATTTTTCATCAACAACAAACTGTGGACAAGGATGCATATTGAGGCGAATACTCAGTTTTAAACAAAGTTATCGTTAAGGGGGGTTTAAGTGTAGCTCCGGTTCAGCGCACAGAACTCCTCGTGGTTCATTTAAACCAACATTTGAAATATCCAGATAATTTGAATATAGTCAACATAGTATATTGGTCATTAAGGTGTATACACTTCTGGGGTCACTAGACAAGTTTTAAGTTCTGATCGTCCACTTGGCATTTGACCGTAACTTTACTGTTTCCTAATCAAACATTACCATAGTTCTTCATACAGTCCCACTTATCTATTTGGCTGGACCGTGCTAGCACTGCCAACCTAAGGCTGTCGATATATAGACTCTATTATCGTTCCGTAATGTTGATGCAACCTTGACTTAAACTTGTCCGTACTGTTTTACTGATTTTAACTGTCATAATTAAGCAGTCAACCGGTTAAAAAATATGACTCTACTGGCAACAAGAAGGACATGTAGGGTGAAACTGCAACTTACTGAGCAGGGGCAGCTGCACACTTTTCACAAGGAACGCAGTCTTCATCCATTGTGCTCCGCTCTGGCCTGTAGAATCCTGTTTGGCAGTGTTGGCACCGAGGACCTGCTCGATTACCAGGGCAATTGATACAGTTGCCTTGTGCATCACATTTATCGCAAGCACATTGCGGTTCACACTTTCCGGGTTCGTCTGGGTCTGGTTGATATCCGAGTGCGCAGATCTTGAGGACAAGGGAGGATGAACTTTAAGAAAGCATATAATAACAAATTAAATGAACTGAACCAAACGCACCAGTATCATTTCTTCTGACCTTTTGTACTCAGTTAGCCCTTAGTCTGAAAACAGATGGCAAGTCTGTGCAAATCCTCTCTGCCTGTGTCTGTATGTACTGGCGAGGTTGTTTAGTAAGTATATTTGATACCCAGACACATCCAAAGTTACATTCTAACGGAACTGGGTACAGAGAGAAATGCATGAAGCAAGAAATTGATATGTTACAGTAGTTGCCTGAAAATTTCAATAGCTTCGACGAGAAGCCAAAGTGGTGAGAATTAATGTTTTCAGGATCTTGTCTTCAGGTCAGCACATATACATTGGTTGAAAAAGGAGGACAGATAGTGAAATAAATGGGTAAGAATGCTGATCAAATTAATGAGGAAGGAACAAAGAAAACTGATTGTCAGTGGAGGCCAAGTCCAATTTAACTGACGTAAGGTGGGTTAAATAGCTGCTAAGCGGCTGGATCGATCGGTTCGTTTACATGATCAACGCACAGTTCGTTTTTGACAACATAGTACCGTATTTCGCAATCGTATTTTGACTGCTTCACCTGTAGTCAAGCGATACCGTTGGTTCGATGCTGACTGTCTGTGAGGTACTCTGTAGATTCGCTCGGAACGATCATGAAACCGGTGTGCATGTGACATAACCGAGCTTCCTATCGAGCCTATCAGTGTGGTGGTATTGGCCAAGAGAGATGTTCACGTCTGCTCTTAGCAAGTTGACGTATCTTGCAATCAGCATATTCCGCCTAACAACAACATAGAAACTACATAGCCATATTTTGGATGGGGGTTGCTATCTTGTTTGAGATTTAGGTTGAGCGTCAGAGGGGTTGTAGACCAAGAACGCTGGTTGCACCCGGGGTCTTGCGTTGCACGGATTGAAACAAGCTGCGGGATTCGTTGTCTGCTAACAACTTGCCTCTATATGGTATTAATATCCTATTTGTGGACATGAGAATATATCTACAAACCTAGAGAACCATTTCAATTAATTATGAATAACCTCTATAGGCGTGACAACATTTTGGAAACGATGAGATCCGTGATGTGAACTCAGTTACCAATATGCAGCGAACTGAAGGGGCAGCAGTGGCGCCAGTGAATCTTCACTAAGGGACGCAGAAACGTGCTTCGTTCAAGAAATAGAATCCACGGTAAGAACACAAAATGGAATAAGTCTGTGGGCTACTTCCACGGAATTGGAATAGAAATAAAAAGCTCCACTTTCACTGAGTCGTCTAAAAGTGCAAAACTCACCTCACACGATAGGCCTTCATAACCAACTGGACAGTCACACTGCTCAACCTCAGTGACCCAGGAGTCAGTGAGGCCCGACGGAGTGACATATTCCAACTGAACATCTTGCACCTCAGTACTGGTTTGATCCTCGAAATTTCTCACGCGTACGCCGATCTTTTGCACATCACGCAGAATATTCATGAACGCACTACGGCCATCTAGGCTAGTCAAGCGCCTTGAACATTTTCGGTCTTCAAACCACCGGTCACGTTCATTCAGTTTTATGGATAATTCGTTCTCATATCCATCTTCAGCTGTATTCAGCAGAATCTGATTAGGGTGCGGGCACCAGTAGATCGTTTTTTCTTTACCCTTTAGAGAAAACGAACAACAGTTTTCAAACTATAAGTCTGATGAAAAATACTGATAATGCACAATTGGGACCGAACATGTTGGTTTCTGAGCCTAATAATTGAACTACTCTCTTGCCAAAAGTAGGAGGAAATCAATGCAGATTTGTTCAGTTCATATGTAGGGGTTAATCAGCGTCACCATGCACTAAGCCACTCACTTTGATGGATATTCGTTACTGGATGGTAATACCAATGCAGATCAGGATAAATGGTGACTAGTGCTCTGTTAAACGATTCGCCTCGATTCTAATCCTTTAGGTGGACCCAACAGGATCGAAATTTGTTGCCTCAGTCACATGACTCCAACACCGTTCGAGCAGTTCAATGTTTCAACAGTAGTTCCATCGCTATCTACCTATCAAATCCCTCTATTTAATCGTGAAAAAGTCAGCAATATACATTTCATCGAATTGAAGTTAACCTCCTCTGTATTGGCTCGAGTAACGATGCATTTGGGATAAAGGAATCTGTATTAACTCACTGAAGAAGTCCTAGAGTGCTTTTTGACGACATGCTACCTTCCTTTTTGAGAGATATGTGGCCAGAAACGGTCTGATAGTTATTCGGAAGTAATAAGCAAATATCCATTGGAACTTACATGGAGCGCAATCAAGGCACCGGGGAAGAAGTTTGTGAACGGTCCAAACTGCCTGATTTTCACTTTCATATTGTAGCCGTACGATGTAACCTAGAGGTAATATACATCAGATTGTTATTCAGCTTGATATTCAAATTGGTATTCAGGCGTTTGTTTGTTTTTTGTCAGGGGCAGATATGAATGGAGTTTGGAACAGAAGCCAAAATATCCAAATTTGTCACGGAAATCACGTGTGAAATGGAAAATTAATGTAATACCTTTATTCATCCATCTTTCTGATCATTTGCTTAGATGACTGTCTTGTGACTAGAATCCAGAGAAATAAGTCACTTCAAAAGAAAAAAAACTCCGGCAAACCTGGATTTTAGCGCTATTTTTGATTTTTTGCCCAGAGTCTTTGTTCAGCTAGGTAACTCATCCTGCAAAAGCGACTTCCGTCCGATATGCATATGCCAGTTTGAAGGACCTTCCAGAAATGTTCCTAAAGGAGGTATTTCACCATTACAAAAGCTTTCAAAAGCCTCCTGTTGGTTTCGTAAGCGGGAGAGGGGAATTTATTTGAAAATACCAGATCCATATTGGAATCTGGCCACAGACATAAATCCCACGCAACCAAATTTTTCTTTCAACTCAGTTAAACATTTAAATAATTAGGACAACCTTGGCGCCGTTGGACGTTCACTGTTTTCATGTTACATGTTCTACGGTTTCAGATGACTAGATAACTAACAGATCTTCAGATTTCAGCCTATGGAAGTAAAAAAAAACTACACAATTTCCATAACTAAAATGTCTAACGGGCTTAGTTAACAACCAAACACGGCTCGATAAATACACTTACCCAGGGACCCTGAAGTCCAAATTCACCTTCCAAATAGGCTTCATCTTCTGGGTAGTTTGTGTACCGAACCAAATTATCTGTTATTTGTAAACCATCGGTGGTTACTTCACCAGTGTCGTCGCTGTAAAGACCAATCACGCTTGTTGTTCCAGTTAGCTTCCACATCTTATTCACCTGTGAAGAAACATTGCATGGCAATTTTACTTAATTTACTGGTAAAATGTTGAAAGTAAGGAGGTGAATACCTCCAGGGTGCCGCACTCTGTAGATGACTAACCATGTAAACCGAACCTAGAGGAACATAAAGACTTCATACAACTGGAATCAAGAAAATACCACACATAATGGGGTTCTAACGACGACAAACCTTAGTGTTTTGATGGAGGACGTATTTAGTTTCTTTGTGGTTAAATCAAGTTTGATCCTAAAGAACTTGTGGGCATATTGCTTTCCAAAGCTTTCGATCATTCTTGATAAACACTTCAAAAACTATTAGTGAGGATCCAAATTATACCTGAGTTTAGGATTGATGGGCCCTTTACAAAAATAGCGATCTTGACGTTAAAACCAGGGCCCGAGTTTGGAAGTGTGATGCGGAGTTGATCTACCGTCGAAGTACTGCTGATGTGTCGAAATCCTTCTTCAAATGTATTTTGAATAATCTATTCGAGAGCTTGGAAGGCTAGCAAACCTGGAAGTTTGGATTGTCAGCAACAGTTCTGCTGACGAAAGAGGTTTGCCCGGAATAACTGGTAAATGTACTCCGCCGGATAGGCCGCTACATCATCTGAATGTAAATCAAACTGGACATTGCAAAAGTAAAAACTTTCCTGTCTACTTTATATAAAACATACTATGGTTCCTGTTACTATATTCAGATAATCAGTATCCGTCAGGATAAGTTCGAAGCGAAAACCCTCAACAGCAAATTTCCCCTAAAAGAGGAACGCCCTGCCGTGTAAGGCTGAGTTTAGCATTAGGACAAAGATACAGGTCCATCAATCTGACGTTCATCTCGTCATCATTTTCAGAAAGGAGAACTGGCCACTACAGTCCAAGGATATCTGGAAGCTAAAGGTTTTCGACTATTGAAACTCAAGGATAATTCTGAAAAAAAGCGGACTGGCGTGGTACTCAATGGGGGCAATTTGACAGCTCTTTATTGGCATTTCACGTCAAGTCGTCTGTGTACGGTACCGTATTCTGCACTGGTCTAGACGGTTGGCTGGCAAGGAAAGTCAGGGATCCGAGTCGCTACTGACGTGGGCTTTACTATAACACGGCTCAATGTGATCAGATCAAAAATTGAAGTTTGGGGCATTCAATCTACCGTATCCACCTTTGGTCATATGTGTGGACTTTGACATCAGTCTTCAAACATTAGAAGTTACAATCCGGGATTACAAAAGTTGATTTCCAAATAAGGAAAAATACTTCAACTGAAGGTTGGCATTTTTGGAAATCCCAATGCATCGAAAAAACTCGGTAACCTGATGACTGAGCCGCAGGAACTCACGGGTGATTTGACGTAACCCTTTGCACTCTGACACTTGTCTGTCACACCTGAACAATAACATTTGAGGCATTCATCTGCGAAAGTGGCACCGTCATTGAAGAACGGGACGGTGCACATCCCACCCTCTGAAAACAAAAGGCAAAGAAAGTACGATTGACGATAATTTTGGAAATGGCAGGTAAAATGATGAGAAGGTCCCGGTTAATAAAGGACCAGCTGTATAATTTTAATTGCTCTGGTAACTGTATTCACTCATCAGTATACTCTCTTTTACCGTCAATTTTCTAGAGGAGGCTGTGAACTGCTAGTTACTTTAAAAAGAATGGCTCTCGTTGCGGAGCCTGCATGCTGTGCGGAGATGTTTGAAATAGACTCAGTCGGTGAGAGAGATAATCCCACGAAACCATTTAATTTTATCACCTCTTATCATCCAGGTGAGGATGTTCGATAGTGAACACAGCGACCTACCTAAATCTAGACAAAGAAGTGTCATCCATCGAGGAGCACATTCACTTGGAAATCAATCACTCATGTTTCAGTTGGCACGATATTCAAGATATCACAGTAAAAGTTCATAAGGAAAACTATTCACGAGGTTGCTGAAAACTCGTCGACAGCCCCGACCGGGCG